ATCTACAAATTTAAATTAAGTCCAGTTAAAACTCCAGCACAATTGTTTTGTAGACATATAGAAGCTGATTCTAAAATTTACTTAGAAAGACAAAGAAACTTGAACTGGCCTAAACAAAACAAAATTAACTTGGCAGCGTTGTACTAACATATTGTAAGACCAGCTTCAAGCCGCAGTAATCAGGACCTTACATTCATGGAGAGAGAAACGCGCAGATCAATGGGCCGCCTGGTCTGCAGAGCGCACTCATTGTAAGGACTCTCAGGCAGGAAGGGACTGAGGCAGAAGGAGGACGGGCGGCAGTGGATGAAACGTCAGCTGGCATCGCCCACTCGCTGGACGTGGATCTGAACAGACTCCAGGAGACAGTGAAGGACAGGAAAGCCTGGCATACTGGGGGCCGTAGGGTCACAAAGAGCAGGACACAGCTTCGCCCTGAGCGACGAAGACAGTGGCCCAGAACACAGAACCCAGAAAAAGACTCATCAGAGGTGGCCCAGTGATTTTTAACAAGGTCACAAAGACAATTCAGTGAAAGAGAAGAGTCTTTCCACAAAAGATGTTGGAAAATTGGATCTCCATTTACCAAGAAAGTCAACTTTGGCTTAAATTTCCCTGCTTATGCAAAAGCTAACCCCAAACGAGCCTCAGTTCTAAATGTAATTGTAAGTTACACAATTTTTGAAAGAAAGCATTGCAGTAAATCTTATGACCTGGCAGCAAGAGGACAATACATAAAAAAAACACTAAATATTGGAAATGATCAAGCTAATACTTGTACTTACAGGTGTTCACCCGAGAGAGATGGAACTCACTGTCTGTGTATAGAGTGTGCACTAATGTTAACGGCTGACTCTATTCACAGCCAAACATGGGAAGCGATCCAAACGTCTTTTGGCAGGAGCCCTGGGCTCCGCACTGGATGCAGCTGGGAGATAGGATAGCAGCACGGACCACGACAGAATCCGTGCCACGGAACTGCCCCGTGGGGGAGGACTCGGCGTGAACCTGAACAGAACACTGTCGCACACACCAGGAGGTGGGACCTCCAAGGAACTGTGTGGGTGAAAGGAACCCGCCTCGACAGGCTGCCCGGCGGTGATTCTCTCTTCGTGACATCCGGGAGGCAGACCCACGGGGCTGGAGAACAGGGGAGTGGCTGCCTGCTCAGGAGCTGGACGGGGCATGACTGACCAGGGGACTCCCAGGAGGGACACGGAGGGGATGGAATCCCCTCCCAGCTAGACCGACTGGATCCAAACACGTGTCAAAACTCGTGACTGTCCACACGCCTTCTAAAGTCCATTGTACCATACAGGAAGCAACGGGACCATACCTATCAATAATTACCTTAAATGTAAATGGGTTGAATGCCCCAACCAAGAGACAAAGGCTGGCTGAATGGATACAAAAGCAAGACCCCTCTATATGCTGTCTACAAGAGACCCACCTCAAAACAAGGGACACGTACAGACTAAAAGTGAAGGGCTGGAGAAAAATATTCCACGCAAACGGAGACCAAAAGAAAGCAGGAGTCGCAATACTCATATCAGATAAAATAGACTTTCAAATAAAGGCTGTGAAAAGAGACAAAGATGGACACTACATCATGATCAAAGGATCAATCCAAGAAGAAGATATAACAATTTTAAATATATATGCACCCAACATAGGAGCACTGCAATATGTAAGGCAAACGCTAACGAGTATGAAAGAGGAAATTAATAGTAACACAATAATAGTGGGAGACTTTAATACCCCACTCACAACTATGGATAGATCAACTAAACAGAAAATGAACAAAGAAGCACAAACTTTAGCGGATACAATGGACCAGCTAGACCTTATTGACATCTATAGGACGTTTCACCCCAAAACAATCAACTTCACCTTTTTCTCAAGTGCACACGGAACCTTCTCCAGAATAGATCACATCCTGGGCCATAAATCTAGTCTTGGTAAATTCAAAAAAACTGAAATCATTCCAGTCATCTTTTCTGACCACAGTGCAGTAAGATTAGATCTCAATTACAGGAAAAAAATTATTAAAAATTCAAACACATGGAGGCTAAACAACACGCTTCTGAATAACCAACAAATCATAGAAGAAATCAAAAAAGAAATGAAAATATGCATAGAAATGAATGAAAATGAAAACACAACAACCCAAAACCTACGGGACATTGTAAAAGCAGTGCTAAGGGGAAGATTCATAGCATTACAGGCCTACCTCAAGAAACAAGAAAAAAGTCAAATAAATAACCTAACTCTACACCTAAAGCAACTAGAGGAGGAAGAAATGAAGAACCCCAGGGTTAGTAGAAGGAAAGAAATCTTAAAAATTAGGGCAGAAATAAATGCAGAAGAAACTAAAGAGACCATAGCAAAAATCAACAAAGCTAAAAGCTGGTTTTTTGAAAAAATAAACAAAATTGACAAACCGTTAGCAAGACTCATTAAGAAACAAAGGGAGAAGAACCAAATTAACAAAATTAGAAACGAAAATGGAGAGATCACAACAGACAACACCGAAATACAAAGGATCATAAGAGACTCTACCAGCAGCTCTATGCCAATAAAATGGACAACTTGGAAGAAATGGACAAGTTCTTAGAGAGGTATAACTTTCCAAAACTGAACCAGGAAGAAATAGAAGATCTTAACAAACCCATCACAAGCAAGGAAATCGAAACTGTAATCAGAAATCTTCCAGCAAACAAAAGCCCAGGACCAGATGGCTTCACAGCTGAATTCTACCAAAAATTTAGAGAAGAGCTAACACCTATCTTACTCAAACTCTTCCAGAAAATTGCAGAAGAAGGTAAACTTCCAAACTCATTCTATGAGGCCACCATCACCCAAATTCCAAAACCAGACAAAGATGCCACAAAAAAAGAAAACTACACGCCAATATCACTGATGAACATAGATGCAAAAATCCTTAACAAAATTCTAGCAAACAGAATCCAACAACATATTAAAAAAATCATACACCATGACCAAGTGGGCTTTATCCCAGGAATGCAAGGATTCTTTAATATCCGCAAATCAATCAATGTAATACACCACATTAACAAATTGAAAGATAAAAACCATATGATTATCTCAATAGATGCAGAAAAAGCCTTTGACAAAATAGAAAGAACAAAATAAAACAGAAGCACGAGCCCACAAACTGGTTTTAAAAAGTCTAAACAAATCGAAAGAGAGAGCAAGCTCTCCATAGAATAGTTCAATATTATCTCACTACATAAATTAATAACTTAATTAAAATATCAGTAAACCAAAAAGTGGGGCTTCCCGGGTAGCTCAGCAGTAAAGAATCTGCCTGAGATGTGAATTTAGGTCCAATTCCTGAGTTGGGATGATCTCCTGGAGCAGGGCATGGCAACCCACTCCTGCGTCCCTGCCTGGAGAGCCCCATGGACAGAGGAGCCTGGCGTGGGGTCGCAATGAGTCAGACATGGCTGAAGGGACTTAGCACACACTCAAGCCAAAAAGACCTGTCGAAAGTGATGCATTTAAAAGCAGAATGATAACTGAATGAGTGTGAAGGAAATAAGACACAGAAATTGATGAACTTGAAAATGAAAATCAACGAATCAAATGGCAGTTCTTAGAGAAGCTCATTAGGACTGCAAATTTCATCAAGACGGATGAAGACGAAGGGGCTAAACCACAGTACACATTTAGGAGTGAAATAAAGATCATAATTTCAAGAAGCAGCCAAGATTAAAAAGATAATACTATTAATAATTTAGCACCAATAAGTTTTTAAAATTAGGTGAAATAGACAAATTACAAGAAAGACAACAGATCTAATTGAAGAAGAGAAAAGAAAAAAAAATTAATTCTCATATTGCCATTTAGGGAAGACATATGAAAAATTTTTCCATCAAAGAAAGCATGACACCCAACTTTTAAAAAGGCAAATCTTACCAAATTTTTGTGGAACAAAATACAAATTTTCCATCCCATACACAGTGGGCATTCACTAAATCATTTTACGAGGCTTATATGATCTTAATAGTAGAAAAACTCTGATCTCAAACAAAGAAATAATGAGAAAAGTATGAACAGGACAAAGCCACCCATAAATATGGACACAAAGATCTAAATTAATAACAAGAAGAATGCAACAGCATATGAAAAAGAAAATGTTACTTATTAAATTGGGCTTATCCAGGGATGAAAGAGAATTTTAGCTGTAGAAATCAGCTTTTGTATTTCTTCACATGAATAAATTAAAGGAGCAAAATGACACCTTTTCTCAATTGATTCAGTTAAAATGTCTGATAAAGTTAAATATTTAAATAATAAAAGTATCTAATAATATTAATAGTAGCAGCAATAATCTAAGAAAACACACATAAGATATTCTTGGAGAAAATTATAAAATCTCTGAAAAAATTAATAAGAGCTAAAAATCAGGAAAGATAAGCCATATACATAGACTGTGGGATATTATTATAAAAATATTGATTTCCCTGGAACTAAATTATAAAAATAGATTCAATTTCAGTGAAAATCCTGGCAAATTTTTCTATTCCTTCTTTTTCTTTTCTTTCTAAGGAGAAGAGTCCTGACCAATTGCTTTTAATAGAACCAAATAGAGTCTAGAAATATAACCTGTGTGTGTCTCTTAATAAAAGGAAGAACTAGAAATGTCAGATATCTCAACAAATAATCCTGGTTATTCTCATCCCCCAAAAAGTGGAGTTTGATCCCAATTCATACCGTGTACAAAAATGAATTCTGTTTGAATTAAAGACCAAAATATCAAAGATAAACTAGCGCATTTTAGGAGTCAACACAGGGGACTAATTTTATGCCCTTGGGGTAGGAAAGTATTTCTTAAACAAAACAGAAAAAGCAGCGATGAAGAAGCAAGAGACTGACGACTTTAACTCTGATGAAACAAAGCAGCCTCCAGCAGCTGATCCAACACAGTGAGGGAGGAAACAAGCTGCAAAGGTGGCGAAAATCCTTGCAAAACACACGCCTGCTGGTGCATTAGCACTCGGAACGTGAGCGCCTCCACACGCAGGAAGGCGAGAGGAGAGTGGGAAAGCACAGGCGGGCAAAGCCTGGAGGACGCACACTCGCCCGAGACGACACTCAGCACTCTACGAAAGCAGGAAAGCGCACAGTGAGATCAGATCCCAACACACACGCCTGCACTCACAGGCGCACACACGCCTGAGATGACACTCACCATTCTACAAAAGCAGGAAAGCGCACAGTGAGATCAGATCCCAACACACACGCCTGCACTCACAGGCGTACACACGCATACACTCACAGGTGCACATGCCCAAGACGACACTCACCATTCTACAAAAGCAGGAAAGCGCACAGTGAGATCAGATCCCAACATACACGCGTGCACACACACGCGCACACATGTGTGCACACACACGCACACACACGCGCGCACTCACAGGTGCACACACCCGAGACGACACTCACCACTCTACAAAAGCAGGAAAGCGCACAGTGAGATCAGATCCCAACACACACGCCTGCACTCACAGGCGCACACACACAGGTCCACACACACGTGCACTCACAGGCACACACACACGTGCACTCACAGGTGCACACACCCGAGACGATGCTCACCACTCTATAAAAGCAGGAAAGCGCACAGTGAGATCAGATCCCAACACACACGCATGCACTCACAGGTGCACACATGCGTACACTCACAGGTGCACATGCCCGAGACGACACTCACCATTCTACAAAAGCAGGAAAGCGCACAGTGAGATCAGATCCCAACACACACACGTGCACTCACAGGCGCACACACGCATGCACACACAGGTACACACATGCATGCACACACAGGCACACACACGTGCACTCACAGGCACACAGGCGGGCACTCACAGGCACACACACACGTGCACTCTCAGGCGCACACACGCCCGAGATGACACCATTCTACAAAAGCAGGAAAGTGCACAGTGAAATCAGATCCCAACACACATCCGTGCACTCACAGGTGCACACACACAGGTCCACACACATGTGCACACACAGGTCCACACACACGTGCACTCACAGGCACACACACGCGTGCACTCACAGGCGCACACTCGCCCGAGATGACACTCACCACTCTACAAAAGCAGGAAAGCACACAGTGAGATCAGATCCCAACACACACACGTGCACTCACAGGCACACACACGCGTGCACTCACAGGTGCACATGCCCGAGACAACACTCACCATTCTACAAAAGCAGGAAAGTGCACAGTGAGATCAGATCCCAACACACATGCCTGCACTCACAGGCGTACACACGCATATACTCACAGGTGCACATGCCCGAGACGACACTCACCATTCTACAAAAGCAGGAAAGCGCACAGTGAGATCAGATCCCAACACACACGCGTGCACACACACGTGCACACACGTGTGCACACACACACGCACACACGCACGCACTCACAGGTGCACACACGCCTGAGATGACACGCACCACTCTACAAAAGCAGGAAAGCGCACAGTGAGATCAGATCCCAACACACACGCCTGCACTCACAGGCGCACACACACAGGTCCACACACATGTGCACACACAGGTCCACACACATGTGCACTCACAGGCACACACACGTGTGCACTCACAGGAGCACACTTGCCCGAGATGACACTCATCATTCTATGAAAGCAGGAAAGCGCACAGTGAGATCAGATCCCAACACACACACGTGCACTCACAGGCGCACACACACAGGTCCACACACATGTGCACACACAGGTCCACACACACGTGCACTCACAGGCACACACATGCATGCACTCACAGGTGCACATGCCCGAGATGACACTCACCATTCTACAAAAGCAGGAAAGTGCACAGTGACATCAGATCCCAACACACAAACGTGCACTCACAGGCGCACACACGCATGCACACAGGTACACACATGCGTGCACACACAGGCACACACACGTGCACTCACAGGCACACACACGTGCACTCACAGGCGCACACACGCCTGAGATGACACTCACCATTCTACAAAAGCAGGAAAGTGCACAGTGAAATCAGATCCCAACACACACGCGTGCACACACAGGAGCACACATGCGTGCACTCACAGGCACACACACGCCTGAGACGACACTCACCATTCTACAAAAGCAGGAAAGTGCACAGTGAAATCAGATCCTAACACACACGCGTGCACTCACAGGCGCACACACGCCTGAGATGACACTCACCATTCTACAAAAGCAGGAAAGCACACAGTGAGATCAGATCCCAACACACACGTGTGCACACACACGCGAACACACGCGCGCACTCACAGGCACACACACGCCTGAGATGACACTCACCAATCTACAAAAGCAGGAAAGTGCACAGTGAAATCAGATCCTAACACACACGCGTGCACTCACAGGCACACACATGCACACTCACAGGGCCACACACATGTGCACACACAGGCGCACACACACGTGCACACACAGGTGCACACCAGGAGGCACCTGTGGGCATAAGTAAGTAGGTGGAGCTCCCTTAGGCTGCGGAGAGGAGGGAGGCGTCAGCTCCCTGAGCCAACCTGGCTTCGCTGAGTGCCTGGATCACGCGTCTCCTGCAGGCTGGCAGGCCCGCTTCTCAGACTGAGCATCCAAACTGCGCAGTGTTCACACGTACAACTAGAGACGCACGCAGGAACTTTCACAGCTGTGCTGTTCATGGCACCAACATCCTAGAGGCTTTCATTGCTGCCGGCAGGAGGCAGATGTCTCACATGGAGCACACCCATAAACGTAACATCACATTGTGCTGAAAATTAGTGAATTTCAGCTGCGCACATCGAACACGGATGGTTCTCAAAAGCAAGCTCTTGGAACAACAACAAAATAAGGCATAGAGTACATTCAGTATCATTCCGTTTACAGAAAGTTCAAAACAAGGTAAATCTAAATTATATGTTATTTACAGATGCGAGTTACGTGTGTTGAACAATCTTATCTCAAATGCGAGATGATTAAGGCAACACTTAGGATAGATTTTATATTTGTAAAGAGGCAGCAGCAGCTATGATCACCTAGGGCTTCGGAAGGCGTAACAAACTGGGGATGTCCTCTATTTTGGGCCTGGAGGTGGCAGTGCAATGTGACATCATGATTGGTGCTCAGCTCTGAACGCTCCTGAGCAGAGGCGGAGTCTCAGAGGAGAGGATGTTCTGAGCCCCAGGGCTGGAGGAGGAGCCGGAGGGCAATGAGGCTGCAGGGAGGATGTGGAGCCGTGGGAGGAGGAGGGTCCAGGGCTGGGGCCACCACCTGCGTTAACACCCCACCGTGGTGGTCGTCCCAGTGCAAACGTAGCCAGACCCATGTTTCCTGAGTTATAACTGTGATGGTTTATTTAGACACGCAAGGGGGAGTCAGATCAAGCCTCGTGGTCCAGCTGTCCTGGCTGGTGTGGAGCCTGGTCACTGCCTCCACCGGACAGACAGCACCCCGGCCACCCGTGCTCCTGCGAGGGGCCCGAGGCAGGCAGGATGCGGACGGTTCGGGGTAAGCACCGAGTGTCGCATCCAGAGCTTGGCGGGTACCCACTGTCCTCACTGCTGGCGGAGAGGCAGGGGGCTGGTCCGGGTGGTGGGGGGCGGCCGCCCACACCCAGTCTCCTTCCACAGCACCTTCTGGAATCGCGCCCAGAGCTGCACTGAGGGAGCCTCCCCGCAGGTCTCACCGGGGGTTGTGGGCCATTCTCTCAGTTCCCCGAGGTGCTTGGAGGCAGCAGGGAGACGGTCAGCAGGGGTCCCTGGGGTCGCCTGGCTGGACCCGGCCACAGAGGCAGAGCAGCGGGAGCAGGCTGGTCTAAGGACGGCCCGCTGGCTGCACCTCGAGATAGGGGGTGGGGGCCACTGGTCACCTGGGGGACGAGGGCTGCGGGTCTCGTCCATGTGCCCGTGTCCTGGTCCCTGGGGACTCACGGGGGTGCCGCAGAGCTGGCTGTGTTCACAGTCAGGAAGCCCAGGCGTGCATGTGCACACCTCTGTGGGCCTGTGCCCTGCCTGGACTCACGCCTGCAGACGTGGGCTGGAGAGACAGATACACCCTAAAAGTAAGAGGTGCAATGCCCGCACCCCGAGTGCTCACAGCCCTGTGAGCCTCTCGCCTCCCACAGCTCTCCTCCGGGACCTGGCCCTTGCCTCTGCAAAACTCAGCTTCCAGGGACACGGGCCCCACCTGGGCCCCCGCGGGGGCCCGTTTCGGCAGACGTCTCACTCCAGTTCACCAAGTTATCTCGAAGCTGAGGAGCCCACCTCACCCTGATCGATCAGGACTGACTGGGAAGAGGAGCGAGATCCTGTTACTTGCCGCTGGCTCTTTTTCTGAGACGTAGATGGAGTGAGTGTATCTGGGCGGCCAAGGTGGGTCTCCCGGCAACGGGTGGCCTGAGACGCCTGGCACATCCTGGTTTAGTGCTTATTCAATGGCAAACCTGCTTCCTTTCTCTAGAACTTATTTGGAGAGGTTTTCTGGGTTGGGGGAAGATTTTGATTTTTTAAAAAAATATTTCCCCAACAATCTGGGTGCCTGTGTGTGTGCACATATGTGTGTGCCCATGTGTAAGTGAGTGTGCACATGAGGGCAAATTAGGGGTGAAGCAGCCACGCTGGCCCCCCCACACCCTCACTGGCTTGGTGCCTCGGTCGCAGGAGGAAGGCGGCTCTGGAAGCCTCGGGGGCCCAAGGCGGGAGCAGGTTTGCAGGGGAGGCTGGCAGGTGAGGCCCAGCTTGCCCAGAAGCTCCTGGAAGGCGAGCCAGGGAGAGACTCCAGCACCCAGCGTCTGTGCCAGCCCTGGGCCTGACCCAGCGCTCTCAGTAGTGAGTATTATTTAATGAACTCTCGAGAGCGTGCCCTCAAACACAGTGCGTTTTATTGTGAACATCTCACTGTTTGCTTATATTCATTCAGCTTGGAGTATTCAGCGGCTCAAGAAAAGCAATTTCAAAATAGATTAGGAAAAAAAAACAAAAACAGATAGCCCTAATCCTGGGCCTGAGAGGATAAAAGGGAAGAAGGCCAAGGAAAGCAAGAACAAAGACCTCAGGAGCAGCTCTGAATTCACGGCGCTGTTCGCAGCCACATTCAGGGTTTTGGGAGAAATCACCACCTATCTCAAGCGCACAAGAAAGAATCAAGAGAAACGTAGCAGGTGCGTTGGTGTTCACGGCCAAGGGAAGCTTTGGGTTATATTTGCTTCTGGTTCTTATGATGAGACCTGTTTTAGAGTAAACAAACTCCTGTGAAGCTGACTCCTATTCTTTTGCTCTGAGTTTTATACTCCGCTACGTCTCTACAAACAATTTTTGTTATCTCTTAATGCTTCATGTTTTAAAATGACTTCTTTGGGACTTCCTCTTTCGTTAGACATCACGTGTCAGTTTGGTTGTTTCAACCCCACTGCTGTATCTCACATATCGATAAACAGCCCTTTATTCATCCATCTTGCACCTGTTCCCAGCTATTCTTTGTCGTTGCTGTTGAGGCGCTCAGTCATGTCCGACTCTTTGCGACCCCGTGGACTGCAGCACGTCAGGCTCACTGTCCTTCACTATCTCCCGGAGTTGGTGCAGATTCATGTCCATTGAGTCGGTGATGCCATCCAACCATCTCACCCTCTGTCGTCCCCTTCTCTTCCCGCCCTCAACCTTTCCCAGCATCAGGGTCTTTTCTAATGAGTCAGCTCTTCGCATCAGGTAGCCGACGTACTAGAGCTTCAGCTTCAACATCAGTCCTTCCAATGAATATTCAGGGTTGATTTCCTTTAGGATGGACTGGTATTTATGCCAGAAGCAATCCTGTTTGTCTGCGACAACACTTTTAGATCGGTGGTCTTCACATTTTTAGTTCTTCTTCCCGTGGAATGACTTCAGAAATTTATGAAGTGTCTCCAAAGTTTTCAAGTCGAAATCCAGATTTGTTACTGTGCGTCTAATAACTGCATAGAATGCAAATTATGATGCTGGATTTTGTTCACAGGCAACCTCAGAGACACTATGGTTTTAGTTCCAGACTGTTGCTTAAGTGAATATTAAAATGAAGTGAGTCACATGAATTCTTTTGCTTCCCAGTGTATATAAAAGTTACATTTACACTATACTGTAGCCTATTAGGAATTTTGTAATAGCATTAAGGCTAAAAAAAAAAACCCTGTATATTCTTTAATTAAAAATACTTTATTGTGAAAAATGCTAACCGTCGTCTCATTGTGCAGGGTGGCCACTAGCCTTCAACTTTTTAACAAAAGCAGTATCTGTGAAGCACAATAAAGCTGAGCCCAATATAAAGAGGCGTGCCTGTGTGTGCTCTCAGCGTGCTTTCTCAGAGCCTCGCTGGCCATTTGTTGGGTTTAAGGAAAATATCATAATTGGCGAGGGCAGTCATCATTCTCCGACTTACCAGGCAAATCAAACTAAGCTTATGCAGAAAAACCTGACTTCAAGGCAGACTTTCAAGGCAAACTTCCAGTGTATGCGTTCTGATTCTAAGACGGGTCGTCTGAAAGGGACGGAGGCAGATGGAAGTGGAGACGGAACTTGGGGGTGAAGATGGACAAGGAGATGGAGGGGAGGAGACTGAAGCCGCCATCTTTGTCACCTGGGGGACGTGGGTGGATAAAGTGTTGGCACTTTAAAGGTTTCTTCCCGCCGCTCTCGGAGGAATCCACCGCAGTGAGACTGAGCCTTGCGCTGGATGGGGCTTCTGTTCTGCTTTGTTGGGAAGCAGCCGTGACAGGAGAGGAGGAGGGTGTCCTCACCAGGCGGCCGGCTCGGCGTCAGCGGGGACGGAGGACGCTTGTACGGGTGGACCAGGACCCCCACTGACAGTGTGCTGAGGATCTAAGGGCGAAAGATGCACACAGAGGAAAAATAAAGAACAAATGCAGAGACTGGAAGGGAAGGGAGACCACTGGTCACATGATTACATATCTAAAGAACCTTTAATGAAAGTGTTATCAAAAACCCAGCAAGACTTTTAATAGATATAAAGAACGTTGTTTCAAAATGGATAAGAAAAACCAAGGAACAAGTAACATAGCTGAAAGCGTTTTGAAAAAGAAGAGGGAAGTGGAAGGAATGAGGTGATCCAGCTTCAAGGCTGTGGTCACAGTCATGAGACTGTGGTCCCCACAGACAGACAGACGCATAGCTAAGCGGACTGAACAGAGAGCCTGGGAAGAGACCCACCAAAGTGCCTCCAACTTATCCCCGACTCAGGAACCAAAGCAGCTCAAGAGGAAGGTTTCCCTTTGTAACAAGCGGTGCTGAAGCAATGAATGACTAGATACCCAAAATGAACTTGACTGAAAATACACATTTTGTACAAAATTAACCTCAAATGAATGGCAACCCATCTCAGTATTCTTGCCCGGAGAATCTCCATGGACAGAGGAGCCTGGCAGGCTGTGGTCGCAAAGAGCTGGACATGATTGAGAGACTAGGAACACAGCAGCCCAAACGCATCGTGGATTTGCCAGTAAAGTGTGAACCGTAAAACTTTCAGGGAAAAGAAGATAAAGTATCTGGAACACAGGACTAGCTTCCTAGGCAAACGAGTTCTTTGACTGACACCAAAAATACAATTATAAAAAAAATTTGAAAAATTGGATGTCTTCAAGATTTACAATTTCACAACTCGAAACACCCTGTTAAGAGGATGAAACCATTAGTTAGGGACTGGGAGAAAATATTTGTAAATCACATACCTAACGAAGAACCAGCATCTAGAATATAAACAAACTCTTAAAGCAACACTAAAACACAAACCAATCAAGTCAGAATGTTGGCAAAGACATGAAGAGACCTTTCACCGGAAAGGATGTGCAGATGCCCAGTAAGCACATGAAAGGGTTTTCAACATTATTAAGCAGAAGGGAAACGCAAATTAGAACCACGGTGAGATATCGGATCTGTCAGAATGGCTGAAGACCTCCAAAGTGCTGTACGGACGCCGAGAATCCCGGGCAGACGGCTGCTGTTCGTTCGGGATGGGGCAGCCTCTCCGGGAAGCAGCATGGCGGTCTCCGCGTCTTTTCTATTGCGGCTCAGTTGGCTTACACTGTCAGATTAGTTTCAGGGGTACAGCGTCGCGATTCAAATATTTTACTGCTTATACTCCAGCCCCAGTGTCCCCGCAGCTGAAGGAGCTCCCAAGCGGGGCTCCCACCAGCGTCCGTGCTCCCCGGGGGAGCTGCAGCTGGCCCTGTCCTGGCCGCTCCCGGAGACCCTGCAGGACCAGCAGGTGGGTCTGGCCCCAGCTCTCGTCAAATTACTGCTTCTGCCCTGGGACCTGGAATGTGTAAGATTTGTATGCATCCTTCAAGCATGGGGTCTCTAGTTCCTACAACCCCACGGCTTTCTTGGAAGTAAACTCTGCTGGGTTCAGAGACAAACATTCTGGGGGCTCGACTTCCTAGGGCAGGACCCCAGGGCTGAGGAGCCCAGTGTGGAGCTCAGACCCCTCGGTCAGAGGGAAGAACCTCTGTAATCGTGACTATTCTCTGGATTTGCGGTCACTCACCCAGGGCCCTGGGACTTGACTCTATTGCGACTCCACCCCTCCTACCCGCCTTGCTGTGGTTCCTTCCTTATACCTTTAGCTGTAGAAGATCTGTCCCGGTAGCTTCCAATCTTTTTCATCAACAGTTGCTTCTATAAATAGTGTATTTGTTGTGTGCCCGTGAGAGGAGGTGAATTCAGTGTTTTTCTACTGCACCATCTTGGAAACTCAGCTTCATTAAAGAACTGGACATACAATTATCCTAGATAATTATATAGATAATTATCAAGATTGCATCCCTGGACATTTATCCCAGAGAAATAAAGACTTCACACCTAAACCTATGCACGAATGGTCACAGAAGCGCTATTACAATTGCCAAAACCCCAAATGCTTCTCTACCTTGTTGAGGTCATGAGCAAAGCTGAAGGGCTTTTGGGATCAAGCTGGCAGAGCAAATCAGACTTCCCTCATTCAACCACTTCCTTGAACTCATCAAGATGCAAGTGAGAACGCTTGGGGTCTGATCTCACCTCCATAATACTGGCCACGAGCATTTGATGACATCATAACCCCTCTGGGATCAGCTTCCTCATCTGTAAAATGAGCTGTGTGTGTGCTCAGTTGCCCAGGCACGTGTGACTCTGTGCGACCCATGGACGCCAGGCTCCGCTGTCCATGGGATCTCCCAGGCAAGAATGCTGGGGTGGGTTGCCATTTCCTCCTCCAGGGGATCTCCCCGACCCAGGGATCCAACCCTCATCTCATTCTCCTCCTGCTTTGGCAGTCAGATTCTTTACCACTGAGCCACTGGGAAGCTCCAGACAGCGCTAATACTGTTTAAGTCTCAGAAGTGAAGATAACCAGTAAGCAAGTCTATTGTGAACTTAGAAGGGCCCTGTGTCTATAGCTTCCTTCCTCAGGGTGAGGATGACACCATGGCCCTTTGCAGGCTGCGTCCCTGGACACAGGATGCGTCATGTGAGGCTTGCTTTGCCTTTTCAGAGCTTCTTTCCACTCGTGGCTCCTGCCGATCCCCTGGCCCATCACTGTCACCATCTCAGACCTGCCAACCCCAACTGCTAGCTTGACCTTTGTTAAAAATCTTCGGAGCTTTCCTTGACCTTCTCTCACCTATTTCCCACCCATCTAATCTATCAGAAAACTCAGGTCAACTCTGCCTTCAACATACATTGAGGTTCGGGCTGTTTCTCACTCCTCTGTCCTTGCACCCCACCCAGGGCCCCACCGTTCTTGTCTGGAGTGTCACGGGCCTCCTGACTGCAGTCCACAGCCCCTTCCTTGAGACCCGGTGACCCTCAGCACTTTGCTCCCTGTAATGGCAGAAAGAGTCCCCCTTCCAAGTCCCGAAGCTCCCCACCCGCCCGCAGGGGGTACCCTGGCTCCGTTGAGTGGAGCCCTGGGGGGTGTCAGCTGGCCTCTGTGAATAGAACATTCCAGAAGGACCGGCCTCTTTTCAGAAGAAGCAACGTCTGTGTTTCTTGAGGCCAGATTGATGGTTTGACTTCATCCCCCCTCATTCCTGTGTTCGGGCTGTTAGTCTGGACTTACAGAGCAGTGAGGAGGTGTCCAGGGATGTTTGCAGGTGGCAGCTGGGAGGGTGGAGACATCCCACCCCCGTGTCTTATCTGCAGCATGGTGGGGCTGTGGGTGCCCTGGGGTGGACGGAGGACAGTCCGGAGTGGATGCCAGGCTGAGCACAGGCCCGAGGGGCGGGGGACGCAGTGTAGCTCATCCGCTCAGCCGTGTCCGACTCCTTATGTCCCCAAATCTGAGGGGCGGGGGGTGGAGGGGGGTAATGGCCATGTTCCTGCAGCTGTCCACGTGGGGCCTGCTTGGGTGGGGGGCAGCCGGACTCCAGCTAGGAGCAGGGGGCCAGGAAGGGTCACCGGAGGGACTGCGTGATTCAGACGGAGCCTCACCACGGGCCCTCCGACCTGGCCTGACCTGACTCCTTGGGGGACGGAGCAGCGGGGCCCTCCGGATCCAGGTCAGGGGGTGGCGGCACCTCTCCTGGGCGGGTCCTCAGCCTGGCCCTGCCCGGCAGCTGCCCTGCGTCCCTCCCTGGGCGGCTCTCTCTGCGGTCACAGCCAGGCTTCCCACAGAGGAGACACAACACGACAAGCTGTGCTCGTCGCCCCCCTGAAGTCACGGCTGGGGCCAGGCCTTGGGGAGCCCCGGCTGAGCCGCAGCTGGGCCCCCCCGTCCCACCTCCCTGTGGCCGGAATGCCTGGTCCTACGGCACCTGCCGAGTCTCAGCGGGGCCTCCCCCAGGCCCGGGCTCGCTTCTCATAGGTGGCGCGTCTGTCTGGAGCTTCCGGGGCCGAGAGGACAGGCAGGTGCTGCCTACCACCTGAGGGTCTCACCTGAGATGCTGAGGCTCTGAAGCGCCCAGCTGGTAACACCCCATTTTGGATGCCGATGACATGTCCTGCTGGGGCGGGGTGCAGAGGCAGGCAGAGGGTCCCCCAAACTGCCCAAGGCAAGTGGGGTTCAGCGTGCGGCAGATCAGAGAAGCCTGGTCACCTGGCTCCCAGCCTGTCCACGAGTGTGGACACACACGTGAGCGCACACGCAAGTGAGTGCTCCCAGACATTCACACTACTGGCCCTCACCCATGTGCACACACAGATTCACACTCACGGGGCACGGAGCTTGCATTCCAAAGAAGAAGGCGTGAGACGGAGGAGGGAGAGGAAAGGAGGTCGGTCCCCGAGAGGGCCCAGGACACCAGACTTTAGAGGACAGAGAGACGGAAGTCAAGGGCCCAGACTCGCGGAAGACAGATCTGTGAGGCAGGCACGTTCCTACAGGGGCCAGAGCCCCAGGACAAGGCAAGGAGGGGCCTAATCACTCCAGGCAGGGAGCACCTCCTAGTGGTCACTGCAAGTGGCCAGTGTCCCGCCACTGGACTCGGGCGTGCCGGACGTGGGGGCCCTGGACTCAGGGAGAGAGCGAGCTGGATGCTGGGGGGTGGGCTGCAGTCTCTGCGTTTGGTCCAGATGGCAGGTGCCGGGGGTTAAGGGGGATCCAGCTCAGATCGCCCCAGCAGTCTTGCAGCAGGCCAGGGAGGAGGCGCGGCGCTCCCGGCCTGGTGATTGTCCTTGTCCTGCTCTCATGGAGTATGCATGCGGCCCAGGCCCGCCACTTAGCAGGCATTTGTGAGGCCGATTGAAAAATCCACGTGTGCGGCTTCTCTGTGAATCTTCATTTTCCTCTTTGCTCATGGGGGCCCCTGGGGGCAGAGAGTCTGCATTGATTATGGGCGTCTGGGCGCGGGGGACGGTTTCAAGGTCAGGAGAGCCTGCCTGCCACCCTGTCTCCCTGGGATCGTCGCGAGAGTCAATCTCCGGGCCTCAGATCCCCACTTGGGAGCTCTCTCAAGCATGAACTATCAAATTATTGTCAATTCCGGCTGATTTTCTAACAGACGATGGGAAAAATTTGCCATCGACTTCATATGTGACTTTTACCCACTTTCTTATTTATTCAGAAATAACAGGGAAAGGTCACGAGCCTGGCACATGCAGTTAGCTCTTTGCTGTTTATTGAGTTTTTATGCTTCGTTTAAAGCTGAATTACTGGGGCATCAAGTGAAAATGCATTTATGCCCTTCAGAAAACTCTGTACACAAAAATTAAATTGTATTATGAGAAGCAGAGAGGGCTGTCTGGGAAGCTCAGAGGGGTAGGTTAGGAGATGAGCGTCCGGGAGGGCACATTCTAATTGTCTACCTGGTCACCGTGTGTGAGCTGTGCCTTTGTAGTCATCACCTCCTCTTTCTCCCCTTCCGGCGGCGTGTCCCCGAGGAGCCCCACTTAGAGGGGCTGGCAGGCTGGACACTAAATAAGGGGGCGGGGGAACAACAGTGGAGGCCCAGAGCAGTTGTCAGGCTCACCAGATGCTGGACGGATGTCAGCCTGGGCCCACCCATGGGTGCCCTTCTGTGGGCCGGGAAGGGGGTGTCTCTGAGAGCAGGCACCCCAGAGGTGACCCTGGTGATTCCAGCTGAATCGGGAAACCTGGGGCGCAGATGGGCTCCCAGGGGAACGTGGCTCTGGGCAAGGGGTCAGCCAAGGCTGATCTGCAGGGAGGCCAAGTAAAGTGTGGTTTTACCCCAAACTGGTGTTTGGGAGGAGAGGATCAACTTCTGATGGCCTCTGAATGTGAGAGAGGAGACAGTCCCTCCCACTGAGGAGGTTGGGGTGTAGATGGTGTGTGTGCCCCTGCCCCGCCTCGCCTCAGCCCCCAGCCCCGGGGCAGCCAGCTTCCTCTGGCTCTGATGGGGAGGGGCCAGCAGGGGCCCTGGGGCATCCCAGCCGCCTCGGCCTGGCCGGGAGGACGCTGATTCAGACTCATCATCACATCGTCAACTCTGCTTGTTTCCAGAACCCTGAATGCAGACCCCCGAGCCCCTGGGCACCAGAGCCCGTCTCCAGAGTGGACGAGCCCCCCTCTGCTGGGCCACCCAGCCCCACTGTCCTGGTGGGTGTTTGCTGCACCATCCCTGGTTCTGTGTGTGAAACGTTTAGAAATGTAAGCCAAGTTAACGCCCAAACAGGCCCACCGCATCTGCATGGCCTGCCTCATCCTCCTCTGTCAGCTAGAAGGGACCTCAAAGACACACCCAGCCAGACAGCGCAACTTTATTTTTCTTTCCAGGAAAGCTTACGATCTCCCAATAATAGGGTGCCTCTGAAGCTGAAGCACTTTTCCAGGCAGAGCAAGGCCACAGCCCCAAGGCTCGCTGTTGGGTGTAATGGCAGGAAATGGCCTGCCGCTAATGAGCCGCCCGGGCCCCGAGAGACGGGCTCCCTCGTGGGGCTTCAGTCGGTGGAGCACGCCCGCCCTCGCTGGGGAAGCAACAGGTCCCAGGTCTGGCCTTTCCAAGGAGCTGTGACTTGGGGTGCTTGGGCCGTGTCTGCCCTGGGCTCGCGCCCTGGAGCAGAGACTGGCTTGTGTGAGATGCGTGGTCCCTAGCTCCTCAGAGGCTGACAAGGTGACGAGTTCTCCCCCTTACCTGGAGGACTGTACCGGTGTGAACACTGTGGGCAGAATCACATTTAATCCTGGGATCGTGATGACTAACTAGACATTCAAGTCAGCCCCCTTTCAGACAGGGAAGTGGCTATTCACACACATAAAACTCTGGCTGATGCTGGGCACAGAGCAAGTTCAGCAGGAAGATGTAGGACGATTGTGGATGTTGCTGCTGACGACAGTGGGGATGAAGCTGACGATGGTGATGAGGAGGAGGGGGAGGAGGACTTCATTTCAGCCATCTTGGATTCCACTGGTGGGAAGATGAGTCCCCGAGTTCACTTCACGCCCATTCAGACATTATCAAAGCTGGCTTTGCTTCTCTTGGGCTTCCTCGTGGCTCAGCAGGTGAAGAATCTGCCTGAATGTGTCAGACCTGGGTTTAATCCCTGGGCCGGGAAGATCCCCAGAAGGGAACAGCTACCTATACCAGCATACTGGCCTGGAGAATTCCACGGACTGTATAGTCCACGGGGTCGCACAGAATCGGACACGACTGAGCAACTTTTCACTTGCTTCCCTTGAGGAGAGTCTGACACACGAGACTGTGGCCTTGACATTCATCTAGTTTGTTTAAATTAAAAACTGAGTCCATGTCACCTGATGTCAAACCAGACAAAGATAGTATAAGTAATAAGAAAGAAAACTAGAGACCAATGTGTCTCTTTAACTTGGGTGTAAGTCTTCCACAAACACCAGCAAATTGAATCCAGTGGTGTGTAAGGAGAGCTATGCAAGGATGCAAGGCTGGTTCGATATTCAAAAATCAATCAGTGTAATCCCCATAAGGCAGACTGAAGAAGAAAATCACATGAGCACATCAAATGCTACATAACTGCATTTGACAAAATGTAACGCCTGCTCAACTCATCCACCTTCTTCCTTTTTCCTCCCTCCTCCCCCCCCCGCCCCCCACCCCAGCCTGGCACCCTGATGTCACTGGCACCTCTTGGGAGCCACAGGCTCCCGCCCCAGCCTCTCCAGGTGCCCCCCGCCCCCGCTCTTCCCCTCCCCCGGGGGAGGTTGTTAATCTCACCTCTACTCTGTTACCCTGGGGGGGCTTCCCGCCGTCCGGTGGTCAGTATAGCTTTCATCAGACATTTTCTGTCTTTCCTCTAGACTTGTACATCCTCGAGGGCAGAGTCTGGGGGGTTTGCCCCACATTCCCAGGGCTAGGAAGGTGTTGCACCGAGTGAGCGCCTCCTGCATACTTGAGCGTCCGCAGGCGTGGTCACTGGCTTGCTTCCTTGCTTTAGTCCACCCCACATGCCCAGAGAGCACAGAGCTTCACAGCAGAAACGTTCCACCCTGCCGAGGCTGTTGCTGTTGTCTATTAAGAGCGGCCTCCGATCAGGAGACGGCTTCTCCTGGAGGAGCTGGGCGTTCACTCTCCCGCTCTGTGCTGTGGATTTTAATTATGCGGCTTTAATTCATGTGTCAGGGAGGAGAGGATGGGAGGGACAGGCAGGCACTGTCCTTCCGTCCTTTCAAAGGGCAGGTAACCTCCTCGCGGCCGACGCCGCTGACAAGGGGAAGCTGACGGGTACAGAGTTGAAACGGGAGGGGCTGCGGCTTCAGCCTGCTGACCCCCTTTGGTTCCTTGTGAGGCAGATGCGGCCGGAGCAGGACCAGGGCAGCGGTGACGGGGGACTGACTGCCGCTTCGGGGACAGGGGACAGGCCATGGACCCTGGTGTCAGCTGGCCCTGCAGGGGGGATGCAGGCTGGCGGCCCCTCTTTGAGCCCACCCTCAGCAGACAGATGCCGGGGTCAGGGGCGCCTGTGTACCCCACCCTCCACCTCCCTGCCCTTTGTAGCCCGCCCAGCACTGACCCTCCACATGCACCCAGGGTCCCGTCACCTCGCCGGGGTCCTCCCCGCACTCATCCCCCTCACACAGGCCTGAGGATCTGCCCCGTGTGTGGATTCTGGGACTCTGCTCGGCAGGAATGGGGAGGAACAGAAGCGGGGGGACTCCTGCCCGCAGAGGATGGAGAGCAGTGAGGAGGTCGCTCACCACACCCTGTGTGAAGTGCAGGAGGACACGTGAGTGGGCCTGAACTGGGCTCCCGTCACAGACTACGGTGGGCACGTGGTGGCCTTGATATCAGGCCCCCTCCCCACTTCCCACCAGCCCGTCTGTGAGAGACCTCACTGGTCAGGCCTCACCTGTGTGAGATCTGGGGACCAAGTTCGTGCTCTCTCTCTGGGTTTAGGTCAAGAACTGTTGCGTCATCCCAGAGCTGCCGCCAGAGGGAAGGAACCACGTACACTGTTTTATGAAATGACTGAACTGCTGGATCAGACTGATCCTGAAGCTGTTTACTCAGAATGTTTTACTTTTCTGGGATGACATCTTCCTGATTGTTTTGTTGGGATTTCAGTAACTTGGAAAGTCAAGTGTCCTTCTCGTTACACGAGGTTCTGGCCGGGAACCTGTGTTCCCTCTGTGGCTGTCGTGGCCTCATCTTGGGATTCTACCATGATTGAGGAGAAGACGGGTGTGAATCTCTGTTAGGTCTTGGCTCACTGCACTGGAAGCCTGTTTATTGATTCAAGGGTCACTTTACTGCAGTGCTAGGCTTCTGAGATGTTTCTTGTATATCTTGCTTTGTTGTTGTTATTTTTATTGGGCGATTAGATTTTATTAGCACTGCCCAAAGGAAACTGCTCGTCTCTGTCTTGTGAAGCGAGTGTCTCATGAACACTGGTCTCTGGATGGGCCTCTCTCCTCGATTACTCCCTTGTCCAGGGTCAACTTCGACCCCCACCGTGTGCAGGGCCGTCAAGCTGACATCTTCACACATGTTCCAAGGGCTCCTGTTAAGGCAGGCTTTCTTCTTACACATGTATTTTGCATTTGCTGTGATTACTTTGCATTTTGGGCCTCTGAGCAGAACTGGCCTTCTCCCGCAGGCACACCTCCTGGGTGCTGTCCAAAGGCCACTTGCACACACACACCGGCTGGCTGCCGCTTCTTCCCGGGAAGGAGGCCCGCTTTCCCCGCATCCCGCGCGCTCTGCTCCCAAGCCCGGGAGAAAAGCGCTTCGGGGTGGTCCTCTCTCAGGGCACTTGCCCCTGAGCCTGGGGGCCAGCTAGGGGGCCCACACTCCCAGGCCAAGGCAGAACCACATGCACACGTCTGTTCCTGCCCCCTGCACCTTCAGAGAGCTCGTCTGAGCCGGAGTCTGTTAGGCAGCTCCTTGGCAGCCCCAGCATCACAGCCTTGGGCGAAGGGGGCAGGCCCAACCTAGGGACACAGTGGGCCTCTTTCTCCCCAGGCTGCGGGGGCTGCTGGGCGAGCGAGGGCTTGACCATCAGTCCAGCTGCTTTTCCCTTCCCTCTGTCAGAGCCCCCAGGGCGCTAGGTCTTGGCAGTGCGGAGACAGCCGGTCCGCAGCTCCTCTCCAAGGAGGCCTGGGGCCTAGCTCAAGTGGAAAGGCACTAGCGGAGCTGACCCTGGGAAGGCCCCCTGGGCATGTCTGACACCCTCCCGCAGCCTGCTCCTTCATGGGGCAGTACCACTTGAAGCCAGGAATGTCACTGGTGGCAAGGCTGGCCAAGGGCAGGTCCCAAGGGCCCCTTGGGGGCCCCGTGGGGACGGCTGGGGAGGGTCCTCAGGGCAGAGAAGGCTCACGCCTGCCCTGGAGGGTGCCTTCCACAGCTGCACCCTTGAGGACACAGTCCTGCCGTTTCCTGAGTATCCACTCTGTCCCCGCACGCCTCCCGGCTCCGGGGCTGGGGCAGAAACTAGGCGGCTGAGGCCCTGCTGCACGCAGCTGGACTCCAAGCGGGGAAGGACCGACCGTGTGATCGGATGTCCGGCAGTGACACCCGGTCTGGGGAGAGAGTGAAGCAGGGGCAGCGGAGGGGCGGCCAGCGAGGCTCCGATGAGACGCCCGGGGCGGAGCCGGGGGCGGGGAGACGCTGGGGGCGGGGGCGAGCCGAGCCCAGGAGACTCTCCTGTCTCTCAGAAGCCCCCGAGGAGCCGTGCGGGACGCGGGGCTCGGGGGAAAGCGGGAGATGGGGCGTCGGGGGTCCTGGGGCTGGACTGGGGGCGGCAGCTGGACGCGGGTCTGCACGTGATAGGTAGAGCCGGGAGGAGTTGAGCTCCAGGGGGGTGGGCGTGGGGCGGGAAGAAAAAATGCGGAGTTTGCACCTGGATGATGGGTCTCGGGGGGCAGACCGCAGGGAGGGGCGCCCTGGGGGCGGGACGGGGGGAGGCAGGGGTGAGACGTGGGGGCCTGGGGGCGGGACGGGGGCACACAGGACGGAGGTGCCTTTAAAGGCAGGACGGACCCAGAGCTTGTGTACCGGGAGTCCGACAGAGCTGCCGTGGGTCCAGCTTTTCTTTTTGTGTTTTCTGAGGATGTACATGAGTCTACATGGTTAGGATATTTCAAACCTGTTAAACGCAGAATAATTAGAAGCAGAAAGAGCCTGTATAACCATATTCTGAATTGAGGAAAATAAGTCAGTGAAATACAGAAGCAAAGACAATCCTTCCAGGACATTTTTCTGTCTAATTCCTGCACCTGGGAGTCTCAGTGACCCAGTTTCTTGGGAAGAGGGATAGGTGTTTGCATCTTAAACTCGAAGCCGGCCTGCTGGAGCGTCCCCAGTGTCCCCAGGACTGGGGTGGGCATCTATCTCCCACCCCTGATTCTAGGAGAAGCCAGGTGAGGTTTGGCGCTGTTTCCAGCTGGACCCGCCTTGTTCTCTGGGCAGGACTGTGTCCTGGGGCCTGGGACTGCCGTCCCCGCTCAGCTGCAGTCCAGGCCTTGGCAAGGTTGGGGGGTGGGGGCCCCAGGCAGGACGGCCAAGCAGACACAGTGGCTGCACTGGGTGGCAAGGAGCCCGGCGGTCCTGGAAGTTCTGGGGCCCAGCTGTGGGCCTGCCCCGGCTGGAGATTTTGACAAGAGATGACTCAGCACCAGCACTGCAGGAAGACCCGGGAGGCCCAGCTGTGGCCACCGCCACCCTGCCGCCTCCTCCAGGGCCCCCTCCTGGCCTCTCGGGATTCCTGCACCCGCCAGGCAGGTCAGGCCAATCCCTCAGCACTGTGTGGCCCTGCAGTCAGCCCCAGGCTACCGGCCAGCGCTCTCCCACGTGCGCCCAACTCCAAGGGACTCGGTCCATGACAGCCGCAGTGGCCGGCAGGGAAGGGCCTGAGGTCCCCGGTTGCACCCTCCCGTCCACGGCCGGGGCCCCTCTGCCGTGCTCTGAGCTCGGCTACCCACCCCGCCCTCGGGACAGCCAGCTCCCATCAGGGGGAAGGGCTCCTGAGTGCACATATGTGTCTCCTCTGCACCTGCAGCCGCGGGCCCAGCGTCCAGTGGAGCCCAGGGGTCTCCGTCCTTCCACAGCTGTCCCGGGAAGCTGCCCCTCAGAGTCCTGGGCAGGGAGGGGCTTGTCATCCTGACCCACCCGCCTCCTTCCACAGCTGTCCCCTGCACGCAGGGTCCAGAACAGGGTCACCTCCCTGGAATGGACCCCAGTTAGTCAATCTTCATGCACATGAATTTCTAGAACCTACTATTTCCCCACTTGCCAGAAACAAAACAAAACGAAAAAGCAAAGTAAATGGAAACGATCACACGGGCTTCAGCCAGGCCGTGTTTTCCAAGCCTGAAGCTGGAACGCCCTCCTCCCCCGGGAAGCGGGCTCCTCCCAGCCGGGCGCGGGCTCCTCCCCCCGGGGCGTCGGCTCCTCCAACTCACCGGCAGGCCCTCCCCATTGGTGTCCCGGCCCTTCTCCCAGGGGGACGGCGTCAGTTCCACGGAGCCAGCCCCCGGATGGAAGGAGGCGGACGTCCATCACTACTCAGGTCGGGGCAGGGCGCTCACAGTTCACCCAGCCCACACTGCCCACGTGTCCTCAGTCAAGGCCGCCGACCAGCCTGGTTAGGACAGGGCTGCAGGCTGGAGGTGCTGGCTTTGCAGGGTCCCCAAGCACCGCTGCACCTGGCCCGTTACAGGCTTGGGCACGGGAGCGGCCGACTCCTGGACCCCCCAGGCCATCTCCTCCAGGTGGGGGGGGGTGACTCCCGGATCCCCCAGACCCCCTCCTCCAGGTGGGAGGGTGTATCCTGGACTTCCCAGGCCATCTCCTCCAGGTGGGTGGGGGGAGCTGTAGATGCAGGCAGATCCCACAGCTGCTCCCCTGAGTCCTGCGCCCCTCTTGAGAGTGATGGACAGACTGGAGCCTAGGCGAGGCTGAGGACAGGCCAGGGGCAGGAGGGCCTCTGGGGCTGGACGCGGCCCCTGCGGGCCCAGCGCTCTCAGGGGGTGGTGTCAGAACTCAGTTCAGCAGTAGGACACCCGGCGGCCTCACAGACTCAGACGGAGGGGGGCGCCCCATGTGTCTGATGTCAGCAGTGCTGCGTGAGTGTGAGTGACGGAAGAAAGCTCTCTGGGTCCTGGCCGTCAGCTGTCAGTCAGAGGCTTGGCCCCTGGGCCTGTGGTCCGTCGGCATCAGCAGAACAAGGAGCAGAGCCGCCCGTGTGTCCACCGGGGACCGGGCAGGGCTGTGCATCCGCGGAGTTCATTAGCACTGGGCCCTGTCCGCTTCGCCCAGCACGCCTCCTGCTCCGCCAGGGTCATGAGGGGGGTCAGGGAGCAGAGATGATGACCACCCGGGCTCTCCGCCTCCCCAGCCCCTGCCTGTTCTCAGGCCATTAGCGAGGGGCCGCTCCTCCCTGGAGGTCAGGAGGCAGGGGTGCCGGGTAGGGCTGAGGGCCCCAGGGAGGGCGCGGGGTCTACACCGAGGCCACGAGCAGCCCCGCTGAGGCTGGTGTCGGGACTGTGTGCACAGAGCCCTGAGCGCTGTGAACGGGCCGGACGTGGTGCAGCGCCGTTTAACAAGCGCTAATTGAGTGTCTCTCTGCAGACACCCGGCTAATCACGGGGTTAAGATGCTGCCACCGCGAGCGGCCACAATCTGTCACTGGCTGTCTGCCACTGTGTGTGAGTGGTCATCTGCAAGAGCTGTCTAAATCGGCGAGACCCCCACAGAGGTTCCTGGGGAAGGTGGCTGGGAGGGTTAGGGTGTCCTGTCTAAACTAGAGAGAACCCCATGGCGGTTCCTGGGGGAGGTGGCTGGGAGGGTTGGGGTGTCCCGTCTAAACTGGAGAGACCCCCATGGCAGTTCCTGGGGGAGGTGGCTGGGAGGGTTGGGGTGTCCCATCTAAACTGGAGAGACCCCCACTGTGATTCATGGGGGAGGCAGCTGGGAGGGTTAGGGTGTCCTGTCTAAACTGGAGAGACCCCCATGGCAGTTGCTGGGGGAGGTGGCTGGGAGGGTTGGGGTGTCCCGTCTGAACTGGAGAGACCCCCATGGCGGTTCCTGGGGGAGTGTCTGGGAGGGCTGGGTGTCCGTGTGCTCTTTGTATGTGGGTGGGGGCGGCATTGCTGCTGTTTCTCCTGGGCAGGCCCCCTCCCCCTGGCCAGCGGCAGGGGGAGGGCTGCTGAGGTCTCCTCGGCTGCACCTGCGCTGTGCCGGTTGCCGGCGGTCGTGTCTGACCTTCACCCATCCCCACCCCGCCCACGGCCATTCCCCCGGCCCCTGGCAGTCCACCCCAGGGAGCCTCCTGCAGACCCCTCCCGGGAGCCTCAGCCTGCGGCCTGTGTGAAGGTTAAATCGTGAAACAACGGGACACCACTCACGGGAGCTCACGCAGGGCCCCCGAGAGGCTCAATATTATATTTATGAAGGATTTTTCTCACTTTGTGTTCCCTAAATACTGTTTCCTAAGCAATCTGCTAATTTTTCACTGGGGTCTTAAACGTTCCCTGCCTCTCGCCATATTGACTCATCAGATTTTTCAACTGAGTAACTGATGAATTAATAATTCCAAATAATGGATGGTATTACAGAATGTTAATGCATCTCTGCGGGGTACATGAAAGGCAGTGCGTAGTCGGAGAAGAGGAGCGGCCTCCACGCTTATTAATTTAGCCATCTAAATGAGAGTCAGAATTTCAGCCTGAATAAATATCGGGAGTTTGTTTAGGTCCCAGAGGTCTTTGAAAAAGTCAGTTATTGAAAGGCTTGCTTGGAAAGCTTTTAACCTCGGCATAATTACCACGGAGCTCGGCACCATTTGACTTCCATTAATACAGAATGGGAGCAATTCTCCTGCTGTCATTAGCCCAGGTTAAGTAAGTTTGTTTTTTATAATTGTGTCCTGGTGTGATGCACGCAGATAAAGTCAGCGCCATGTCGGCCGGGAGCCCTCCTGCTACAGACAGGCTTCCTCCAGGGCCTCGTCCTTCTAGGTCACTGGCCATCACTCCAGCATCTTCTCAGTGAAAAGCAAAGTGTTGACACAGAGCTAAACCAACACCTCCCCCCAACCCACACACAAGTAAATGTGGGGGAATCTGAATGAAGCTGGTGAATTGTGTCAGTATTAACGCCCTGGACGTGATATGAGATTACAGTTTTGGGGAAATGGGTAAAGTTACATGGGATTTCCCCATGGTATTTTTCCTTATAATTGTGTGCCTATTCACAATGATCTCAATAGAAAAATCTAATTACAAACGTTGGGTCCTACCACCCTCACTGGGATTCTGATGGACCCACTGCATTACAGATTTCCCTCAAAATCCTTCCCAAAGTAACTTCAATGGGCCCGTTGAAATACAAAGCGTTTAATAGACTTAAGTAAAACAAATAAAAGCTTTGTATTGGGGTGTTTGCTCTCTTATTTCCACTTGACTTTGTGTAAAATTAACGAAATAGAAGTCTGTTTTTGAGACATTCCAGATGTTGCTAGGAAATGACGTTGAACTCTTGCCTACTCAGGCTCAGGTTGGCATTCAGAGTCAGATGCGTGAGGACAGGCCTTGGCAGACCACGTCTCTCAGCTGGAGTCAGCCCCTGCCTGCTTTGTCAGTGAGATTCCCTGGAGTGTGGACATGCACACTCGTGGGAACAGCGTGCCACAGTGCAGTGGCTACAGAGACCCTCACCGACCACGAAGCAGAAAATATTTACTATCTAGTTGTTTACAGAAATGGTTTGATGACCCGGCATCGGGCCACCTGCTCTCACCAGCCCTTCCAGAATGAGACTTCCCAGCTGGCCCACTGTTCTGGGCAGATGAGACTTTAGCCCTGGAAGTGCCCCGAGGAATGCGGGTGAGGGGCGAGGATGCCCTGCCCACGGGGACTCACCATCTGCCGCCAGCACTACCTGGGCCGGGTGTGGAGCCCAGCCACTCGCCATCTTGGCCGTTGCGTCTCACCCCACCTCCCAGGCAGGGCCGCTCTCTTCCTTGGGAGACCTGGATCTGGGTCAGAGGCTCCGAGGGTGTGGGGTGGGGAGCTAGAAAGAAAGAAGAGGAAAGAGAGAGAAATGAAACAAATAAATACCCTTCCCTCTAAATGTGGTTTCATCCTAAATTTCCAAAATACATAAAGAAAAACTAATATTGAGAAAGAGTCAACAAAACAAATCCATCATCAACACATTAAAAGACTTCAGCTGCAAGTGGTTTTCAGAACCATCTGTCAAACATTTAAAATAACTGTATTCAGGATGTTCAAAGAGGCTGATGAAGGCAAAACTTTTATTTAAAAGAATGAAAACCAACAAGGTATCTTATGAAGAAGTTGCAATTGGAAATATTAGAAAAATTAGAAATTGAAATATAGACATTGATAGGGAAGAACCTGCAGGCCAGACGCGGCCTCGGGAGTCGGACGGGGAAGGAGGGCGGGAGTCCCCTTTCCTCTGACACGGCGTCTGCGCAGAATGGAGCCTGAAGGGTGAAAGAAGACAGTTCCGATGCACCGAGGACAAGTGTGCCGAGCCCGGAGTTCTTCTGACGAGCCTTTCAGGAGACGAGGGGAGGAAGGTGGAGAGGTAGCGTTTGCAGAGGGAGAGGCTGGCACTTTATGGAACTGAAGATGGGCGTGGCTCTTCAGATGGGGAGGGTGCCCCGTGTGAGCCTGCGGACAAAGGAACAGGCGCCCGACCCGTGAGGGCGACTGCAGAGCAAGAGGGGGGAGGACCGCCTCAAACGCAGCTGGAGGGGAAACGCAGATGGAGCCACAGGAGACGGGGTGGCGGGCAAGGCTTCTAGGAGATGGGGGACGTACCCGCTGCCCTAAGATTGAGACCCACCCAGGCTGTAATTTTTATTTGAGGCAAAATTAGGTCAGTGATGGTTTTTTAGGACTAAAGAATTTACTACCTTGTAGCTTTATTAAAAAGAACTATCAAAAAGATGTTCTTTAAAAGAAACATTGCAAACGTGAATGCAGAAGGAACAGTGTAAATTTTTTATAAATCAAGCAAAGATAAAGAATAATAATCAGAAAATACAAAATAAGCTCATTAGTATTCACCATGAATATAATCAAACTCTAAATAGATGTTAACATGATTGAATGTTTTCAAAACTTTATACAAAGCATGAGAAAAGCAAAATTACAAACAGTTGAAAAACAAAGAGATTGAAAAGATGTGCCAGATAAATATTAAAGTAGTAATATTAATATTAGACAAATCCAAATTTAAGATATATAGTACTAGAGTTAAGGAGGTATATTAGGTAATGAAAAAATGAAGTAAAATATAAGAAGATATAAGAATTGTAAACTCATGTTCACTTAATAAAAGCTTCAAAATATACACGAAAACCTAAAAGAATTATAAGAAGAAACAGGTGTACCCAGTATGATAAAAGATGAGTTTAACAAGCATTAATTTTTTTAGAATAAATAAAAATTAATTGTGCCTCTAAAGATTTACATGACAAAATCAATACATTTGACAAAATACATATTTATCTATTCTGTGCATATATGTATATATATATATAGGATTATGTCTGCAGAAATAAATTATATATACTGTATATACCCATGTGTAATTAATGCATAAAATGTATATGAAACATATAAAATTAACACTGTAATACATACTAGTGAAATCTGAATATTTTAATTGACATAATTTTTCTCTGCTTACTATAAATGAATAAAACTTAAGTCTAGGAAAGCATAACTTTTGAAACTTAAAAACATGCTTCTAAATGGTACAGATGGGGTGGAAAAGCACCATCACTGTACCTGAGAGACCCGGCGTGTTCACCGATCAACACACATGGTTCCCGCTGAACATGCTTCGAGGGGAAGTCACAGTCTTACACGGATTTATTAACGAAAACAAACAAATGTTCAACTCCAGGATAGAGTAAAATGAATATAAATCTAAAGGAAGTGAAAAGAAATAATAAAGACAAGAGAATGAATCAGTACAACACCTTATAAAGAAAAAATAATGAGGTTCTACAAATGCATTTTTTAATTCAAGGAAACAAACCTTCTTAATATGATTGATAAGAAACATACACTAATAAGAAAAAGTGAATATGACTTAAAAAATAGAGATATTTAAAACTCAAAAAGAGTAATGAGAATGACTTTAGATTATGAAATAAATATGTTTGTCTCAGAATCAGAAAATAAACCAAGATCAGAACAGAAAAGTCATTAGCTTCTCAGTACGTGCCGGTTAGAAGTGTGTGACAAAATTCAACACTCACAAGTGGTGACAAAGCTGGGAGCAATCAGAAACACAATACGTCACACTTAAAGAAGGGACTAAAGAAGCGTTTCTATTTATGTTAAGAACAGCATAAGGCTGCTTGCTATGAGCTCCTGAATTTCACAGGGCAGTGGAGGGGAGGGAGGTCCTGGCTGCAGTCACAAGAATAACTTTGACTTGAAAAGAAAGCACTGAATCACCATGTTTGCAGCTAATGAACAATAGCAAATCGGTATCAATAAAGGACCCAGGCCCAGGAATAAACCTACCCCCCAAATGTATGCAATTTCTACGAAAATAAAAAGAAAATTAATGACAGAAAAGAAGGTCTGGAAACATGGAGACAGAAGCAGTTGGCAGATTAGAAATCTCGATATTTTAAAGCTGTAAAATCAAAACACAGTCCCCACTGTTTTTCCTGGACTTGATGACCTTACTCTAAAGTCCCGGTGATAAGAGTAACGTGGGAGTAGACAGATCTATAGGGTCCTCCCTTCGTGCAGAAGGCGGGCGGGGCTTCTGTACCAGCTCCACCTAGGGCAGGGTGGGGAGGAAGCAAAGGCGTTGGGGCGGTGGTCGGTCTGGGACTGAGGGAGGCGGCTGGGCTGGGGCAGGCAGGGGCCCAGTCCCTGGTGTTTTCTTTATTTCAAAAAACGTGCTGGGAGCAAACGTGGCACAGCGTTTACGCGGGTTAATCTCGGCGTGAGCCCTGAACGTCCTCTTGATCTCGGCAATGTTTCCTTCTTTCAACGATACTTTTAAAGACAGACTCTGCTCATCCAGGGCTGTTGACCTTTGCGTCCTTACCTGTCAGCCTCCAGACTCAGGGCGCCCCCGGCCCGTATCTGCCCCCAGCTCCCCCCGGCATGTTCCGGTCTGCTTCAGCTGCTCCCCGCAGCGTTTCGGCTGTGGGAGCTGCCGCCGCTCCGCAGGCCCCAGAGCGCGTGGGCCTTCTGCACAGCCTGGGCACGCGGCCTTCTGCTGTGCCTTAGAGCAGCCTCCCGGGGGCAGCCTTGAATGCTTCTCCACGGCGGGGCTTGGCGGAGGAGGCCCGTTCAGGAGAAAACTGCTTGCCAGACAGCGAGCTGGCACAGCGCTTCACTCAGAGCAGTCAGCAGCGAAGCTTGCTGCACCTGGCTGAAGGCTTCTAAAATCTCCATGGCGACATGAATGGCGCGGTGCGCCCTCCAGAAGCTCACAGCCGCCGTCAGGAAGATGCTGTCCTTCATCCTCCTCTGGAGCCTGCAGACAGCGGAGGGTTTCGATGGTGTCGGACAACGCGGGCGACTTCTGAGACCCCTGACCATACTTAGGGTCCAGGGCCGCACGGTGAGGACCCCCAGCACCCCTCCAGACCTGAGTGAGCCAGGCTTCGGGGGCCAGCTTCTGCCCCATGAGTCGCCTGGGCAGATACTGCCAAGAGTGGAGCAAGACGTCCCAGCTGGACCGCAGAACCCTGAGCAAGATGAAGGTCACCCCCTGCCCAGCTGTTAGGAAGCTGAGCTTTATCTTGGCAGTCCAGATTCAGCTCCTGCGTGTTGGAAAGCCCGCCCCCGCAGAGTGCAGCTGCGGCCCCTGGAGGGGCCTGGGGTCACCCCCGGCACTCCTGGGGGGGGTGGGGTCAGAGGGGCGGCCCCGCCTGAGAGACCGTCCAGGTAATAACAGCAGAAAGGGCCGAGGCGCTTGTCACTGGCGCCCCCCGCCCCGGGAGGCTGTCGGTGAGGTCCCTGGCCATCCTTTGGCACAGCGGGACCAGGGGCTTACCGGCGCCTGCGAGGGGACAGGCTGCCCGCAGGGGCCAGGCTCAGAGGAGGTTAGTCTCCCGGGGCTGACTCAGCAGGCTGCGGTCCCTGCTCTGCCAGGGCGCTCGGGTCTTCCTCACATTCGACGGTGTCACTTTCTGCTCCCCCGCTGTGTCCATAGGAACACGAGCTTAAACAGCGTGGCCCCCAGATGCCCTGCGTGAGTCCCTTCCTCTTTCATCCTGACATGGGGGCTGTAGCATCCGCCCCTCTCTTCGGGGCTGGCTCGGTTTCCTATGACAAGGTGACCACATTTGTATTTACAGCTGCTCCTTCTGAGCCAACTGATTAGTAAACCGAGCCAGTCTCGGCACTAAAATCATCAGAAGGTTACATTTGAAAATTTCCCTGAAGACTCAGGGTACCCTGACACGTGCATCTGGCACCTCCCTGTCTTTCCAGGGGCGGGAACTCTAACCCCGCACTGTGAAAACCTAGCCGAATTAGCCAAACAGAGCCCACACCCGGAGCCAAATCCCCCGCACACAGCCCCTGACCTCTCACTCGCTGGGAGAGGCGGCGAGGAGTGGACGGCCGTCCGAGTGGAGGCGGCGTTTGAGCTGAGGGTCCTGACGAGGGTCCTGACCCGGAGCAGGTGGAATGTCTGGCGATGTCTGACTTCTTGCCATGTGGCAGCCTTGGGGGGGACTCTAGCCTCAAGTCCAGCTGATTCCGGGTGGGAACCGGCTGCCCTGATGTTGGTGGATGAGGCCGCCGAGCATCCCAGCCCCCCGTCTTCACTGCGTGGGGACCCCTATTCTGATCGTCTCCCTGAAACGTGAGGCGGGGGCAGGGACCAGACCCCGGGCAGACGAGGTTGACAGCGGGTTATGGGTCACACCCACTCACTGCCCGCGAGGAGGACTCTGCCCACCACACAGGGTCACTCGGAGGAGGACGTGGCGGGCTCACGGGATAATTTCAAGGCCAGGCGGGCAGCGGGAGCCCTCTGCCCAGGGACAGCACCCCCACCCCGGGTCAGGGTGGCCTGGATGGAGACCTGGTCCCAGGAGCAGAGAGGGGGCCCTGCAGGCGCGTCGTCCTTCTTGTTATGAAATCTCCTCACTCTCTGCTCTTCCCGTCCCTGGGAAACGGGAGCAGGTTCTGGAACGGCCTCGTCTGAGGGTCATTTGTGCTCACAGGGGAATTCCCGCCCCTGGCCCTCCCGTCACAGGGCCCGCTGGGTGTGTGGGGGTCTGGGGGTCCCCTCTGAGGTCTGCGGGTGTGTCCCCAGACACGACCTGAGCAGAAGCGGGCCACGTCCTGGAAGGGGAGGGATGGGAGTGTCTACTGGGAATTCACATGGGACTGCTGACCTGCAGGACCCCGGCGCACGACCTGTCCTCCAGGGCGCCGGAAACCTTCCTGATGAGAGCCGTTCCCCAGGCCCGGGGTCCTAGAGGTGCCGCTGCCGGAGGAGCCGGGTGCAGCCCCGGGGGCCCCAGCCTGCAGGGTCGCGGACTCTGACCGCCTCCTCGTCCAGACGTCTGCAGTGCGGCCTCCTGCCCTGGGCGGCAGCAGGACGCAGATGGAGGGCAGGGCTGCAGCAGCATCTGCTCCTTGTCTGCAGACAGAGGCCCAGGTGGGAGCCGGGACCCCATGTCCGAGGGTCAGGTGAGTGGGCGTCAGGTGGGGCGTGGGGAGGGGGCAGGGGACACCTGGCTGGGTGGTCACAGGACACAGGCGTCAGCTGTGCTTGGGCGCCGAGGGCGCCTCCATCCACTCGCAGGACGCAAGGGCAGCCTTGCAAGAGGGCGGCTGGTGACTTCGGAGGATGCGCGCATCCATGTGCCCGCCTCAGCCGAAAGGTGTGCTGAGCCCTGGCCCGTCCCGGTCAGCAGCACCCGGCCCCAGCTCGCTCGCGGCTCTGACGGCCGCGCACGGCACCCCCGCCTCACTCTGTGTGGGGACCTGGCAGAGTCTTCCTCTTACCAATGAAGCCGCGCGGACACTTGCAGATGGGGCTGCGAGGGGCAGGCCCTCCGCTGCTCCTGGTTGGGGATGCTAGTCCTGGGGGAGGCAGCACGCCCACCTTCACTGACCACCCCACTTCCGCTTCCCTTCCTTCCCGCTGTGGGCAGGCAGTCTGGGCAGTCCACAGTTTTGCCAACACCTGGAACAGTCCTTTTTTAAAATTTTTGCCATTCAACTTGGTGCCCGACGCTCCTTCGTTGGGGTTTAATCTGCAAACCTCCAGTGACTGAAGGTGTGAGCGTCTTTTCACAGGCTTACCGGCCGCTTGTGTATCTTCTTTGGCCAAGTTCCTGTGCATTTTGGAACGTTTATATTTCATGGAATTAAAAGACAGCTTTGTTCGTTTCCGCGTCTGCCGAGCCCAGCCCACGGGCCGGTGGCTTACAGAGTGGACCTTCCTAGACCTTCCCTCTGGAGGCTGGACGCCCAGACCCAGGGGTCGCAGGGCGGGCTCTCTCTGTGGGAGCGGCCACTCCAGGCCATCCGTCTGCACACACACACCCCCCGCCGCATTCTGTGTCCCCATCTCTTCTTGGGTCGGACCAGGCCCACCCGTGTGACCTCCCTTGGCCACCGTCGCCTCTCCCCAGGCCCTCCCCTCCCCGGGTCACACTCACACTGGCCATGAGCACTCAGCATGTGAATCTGGGGGCACAGTCCAGCCCATAAACGACTCGGCCCCAAGTCCCGGGCAGGGAGTCCAGGGTCACAGACAGTCTTAGCCGTGCTGGGTCACCCGATGCCTGGCATGAAGGTGCCCGGGGCGCAGGGCACAGGCTGGGGCGTGCGTCCTCCTGCCTGCCCGTGCAGACGGCACCCTTCCCGCCACCCGCACCTTCAGAGGCAACAAGGCGCCCGCCGTGAAGGCGAGCTGCTCAGGAGCTCAAGGCCGCGGAGTGACAGCGCCGTCCGGGAAGCCCGACTCGGGGCGGAATTGAGGGTTTTGGCTGCTGTAAAGAGCTCATTTCTGCCCAGGCGATCAGATCGGCTCTCAGGATAATCTAATCGGGGAGGACGTTTGTCAGCCGGCGGCTCTGATTCCTGCAGGCCTGTGGGTCCCCGAGGCCTGAGTGCGGGTCCCCTGCTTGGAGCATTTGGACGGCAGTGGGGATGGGGGACAGGCACCCTGACACCCGAAAGATGACCGTGCGGCTGCCCCAGGTGGTGCGGCAGCACAGGTCCACCCCCGAGGCCTGCAGACCCCGCCGCTGACCTGTGGCGGAGATCCGGCCCTGATTTTAAATAATCCAATTAAAAACTCCACCTCTGAAACATGGTAATTGTAATCTGTCTCATCTCTAAGTGTAATTATATTAAACTCCAATTTTCCCTCAAATATGCATTCTAATTCAATTTTCCTTTTTTCCCCCTTCTTAACTAAATCTATTATCATTCCTGCAGTTAAATTATGCTTATTTAATCTTTGATGAGACCTTTCGCTGGCAATCAGCTGTTTTAAATTAATGCCCCCAATCTTGGGGACAGTGGCACTCGGTTCAGGCAGGCTCTGGGGAGGTGCAGGGGGCGGGGTGACTCCCGGGTCCCCGCTGAGGGGCTCTGCTGGGCCTCGGTGCCCCCAGACCTGCAGCAAGGGAAGCACCCAGGCCCCCACTGTCCCGTTACCCCCGCAGTGGCGGCCCCTGAGGACTTCAGCAGCTCCCTCACCTCCAGGGAACATGGTCGACCTCATCCTGATGGGATCTCACAGGCAGACCTTCCTCAGAGGAGCAAACAATTATTGCCAAACACCAGTGTTGACCTCAGTGATTCTCATTGTTTGAATTAAGCATAAGTCCCATAGGCTTACAGCTTTGATGCAACCATTAAACCAAATTAACATGCGAATTAAGTGCAAAAAAATCAACAAAACACAACAGTCCAATGCTGTCCTTGGTTTGGAGATGGGCGATGATTGAATGACATGGTCCTGCCAGCTCAGGGCTGGCTTTAGACCCACCCGTCCTGGATAGATGCCCACCTCCCTGGGTTCCCCCACCTCCCTGATTCCTCCCACCTCCCTGGGTTCCCCCCTCCTCCCAGGTTCCCCCCTTCTTCCTGGGTTCCCTCCTTCTCCCGGGTTCCTCTACATGAGCCTTCCTGCTCCCAGCAGGCTGGACTGGGTTCACCTGGCCCCGTCTCTTCCAGTCACGCGTGGGAGCCACAGGGGGTGAAGTCACTGTTGGTCCCCAGGTAACCACAGCACAGGTGAGAGAAGCGTTGGTACCCTGGGCCGTCAGGGAGGGAGAGTAATTTCACACAGAGCAGGGAGGGCCTTCCAAGCGCCTCAGGCCCTGCTCCCCACGAGACAGGCTGACGGGAGGCAGGTCACAGGTGAGCTTGCGCCCCTCGCCCTGCGGCCCCCACAGCACTGGGCAGCCTGCTGGTCGCCTGGTGCACACAGGGTGGGGAGGCGGCAGACCAGCGGGCCCCTCGACCACAGGCCTGCGCCCACCTCCGTTGCCCCACTGTGGTCTCCTTGGTCAGAAGCAGTGCTGCTGGGAGATCGTGCAGGGGGTAAGGCCACCCTGAGTCCAGGAACGGGGCCTCCCAATAAACCCCCCAGGTTCAGCTCCCTGCTCACCTACACGGAGCGCGGGGCCCAGGGCTCCTTCTGCCCAGCAACCCGGCCTCGACTGACCCCGGCCTCAGTCATGGAGGTGCAGTAAGTCCAGGGGTGGCTGCCCCAAACACAGAGGGTGTTAGACCTGAACACTCTCGGGGAGACCTCCTGCTCGGGGAGCGGCAGGGCCAGGCCCCCACTGGGGAAGGAAAGGAGTCAGCCTGCTGAGAACGGACTCCATCCGCAGTCCAGGGCAAGACACCGCGGACGTGCTGGGCAGAGGCCGCGTCTGAGCCCGAGCAGCGCTTTTTTGCTGCCTTGGTGCTCTGGGGGTTGGGAACTCGAGGCGTGGAAAGTGCAAACCTTGTAATCAAGCTTTAACGTCCACATCATGGCAAAACACACATGTGGGTGTTACTTTTAGTTGCACAAATGTATTCACTGGCATGTAATTATTTCAAATAATTGAAAATGCTTTGCAAACTGTGACATTTCACTGCCGCACAGAGAAAACCGACTATTTAACTCTTGAGTCTCATTGTCCTGTGCTTCACAGCCAAGAGACGGCCAGATGTTTTCCAAGTGAGTGAAGATGTTCCATAAAATCACTCATCATGTAAGACTGTGTGTCGGGAAGCTACTGTCACAACAGCATCACTCAGATGGGAGAAGCTGGGATGAGAACCCCCTTGTCTGAGACCAGCCGCCTCAGACGAGCACAGACTGGCTTTCCTCTGGGGAGGGTGGGCTCCTCCAGGGAGGATGGGCTCCTTCCCAGGAGCACAGGACCCCTGGGTCTGCCGGCAGGAAGGCCCTGGACACTTCCCGCTTACCTTTCTGCAGCAGCAGGAGAGACTGATTAGTTGGTGGTGCCGTGGGAGAACGGAACATGCGGCGCTCTTGTCCAAAAGCAAGGAAGCATCTGGGCTGTGCCAGTACCCAGCCTGTGAGAGAGCGGGCCCCCGAGCTGGGCTGTGAGCCTGTGTGCTATGGCTCAGGCCTCCTGACACCAGCCTGGGGGAGCCCGAGTGTGTTGCCATCACCCAGTCTCCTGGCTGCGAGGCTTCACACCGTGAGGCCCAAATGGCCATGCAGGTTGTTGCACAGAATTCCTGTGAAGTCCATCCTTGTGTTTGTGTGCATGTGTGCGTACATATGTCTGTGTGTGCACACATGTGTGTGCATGTGCGTACATATGTATGTGTGCGCACATGTATGTGCACAAATATGTCTGGTGTGTGCACACACGTGTGCGTGTGTACATATGTCTGTGTACGCACATATGTGTGCATGCGTATACATATGTATGGTGTGTGCGTGTGTACATGTCTGTGTGCGTACACATGTGTGCATGTGTGCATGTGTATACATGTGTCTGGTGTGTGCACACACATGTGCACATGTCTGTGCACGTGCACATATGTGTGCATGTGTGTGCATGTCTGGTGTGTGTGCACATGTGTGTGCATGCATGTGTGCATATGTCTGTGTGCACACACATGTGTGCATGTGTGCATGTGTATACATGTGTCTGGTGTGTGCACACGTGTGTGCATGCATGTGTACACATGTCTGTGTGTGCACACACATGTGCCTCCATGTGTGCACAGGTGAGCAGGCACTCACATCTGAGTGTGCCCACACGTGTGGGCTCATGTGAGTGTGTGTTGAGTGTGTCCACACATGCAGGCTCACATGAGTATGAATTGAGTGTGGGCACACTCTGAGTGTGTCCACACATGTGGGCTCACTGTGAGTTGAGTGTGAGCTGGGTGTGTGCATGCCTGTTGAAGTAGCCACATCATCCACACCCCAAGGTCACCTCGCATTGAGGAGTTTCCTTCTGGACACTGTCCCCAGGCCCCGCTGGTCCCACCTGGACCCGAGCCCCCCAGATGCAGCCAGATTTCAGGGGAGCCCCCCTCCATCACTGGGCTTCTTGGCCCCCACTGATTCTTGGGGGCCCCTGGTTCCAGGACTTCTCTCTTCACATGGCTTATTTCTCAAGGTTGGCGCCTCATTTGAAAAGCAGACCTTCGTGACTACTCCTCAGCTGTCTGCCTCCTGCAGACCCCGCCAGGACTGAGTTCCCTCTCCAAGTTCAGGGTCTGGGGAGGGGGCGGTGGATTCCACAGCCATCTCCCCCTGCTGGGAGGGGAGGGGGCAGCTCACCTGGATGGGGGGGCCCTGTGCACCCCCGCTGGCCACACCCCAACAGACACTGCTGGAGCCCCTGCGTGCCCTCAGGGCATCGGGAAGGTCAGGGCTGGGAGGGGAAGTGGGGACCAGGCCTGCTACTGACGCAGCCTGGGGACGAGGGCCAGCCCTGGCACAGCTGAGCCTTGGTTTCCAGCCTGGGTGAGGGACTGGGCTGGCGGTCACCACACATGGAGGCCCTCCGCCAAGGCCGTGGGCATGTGGGTCTCGTCCCCAGGACCCCGAGCTGTGAGGGGGTGCAGGGGGCTCCCCCCTCCAGTCAGCGTCCCAGGACTCCAGACCCTCACCAGGCGCCTCTGCCTGCCTCCAACAAGCCCTTTCAAAACAATTACCATCACGTGAACAGGAGTGAAATATGCCCGTCTAATTTATTAAACTTCCACCCAAACTTAGATATCAAATGTTTTATTAATATTTTCTATCATCCTTACAAGTTAAACCAGCCATGAAAATTACCTTCAACAGGAAAAAAAAAACGTTGAAAATGTATTCATTTATAGGAGTCGCCGAGCAGCCCTTCTTGGGTAATTTAATCAGAAATAGCTGAGGTCTGCTCCAATACTCTCTCTGATACAAATATTGAAATATCTAATTAATGTCAATCAGGCCTGGAGGAGTGACTCCTGTGCCTGGCAGCAAGGAACCCAGAGCTACCCCCAGGCCGAGTGAGGCCGAGGCCTCCGCCCACGTCCCGGCGGGAAGGCCGAGAGGTCCCCCTGGCAAGCCATGCACACCGGGGAGAGGACTCGGGGACCCTCAGTGCTGGAGGGGGCGCAGATGATGCAGCCTGCCCCCTTCCTAACGTCCACACCACTCTCCCCTCCCCGCTCCCTCTCCCCTCCCCCTCACTCTCTCCCCCTCCCCCTCACTCTCTCCCCTCCCCCCACTCTCCCCCTCTCTCCCCCTGACTCTCTCCCACCCTCCCTTCCTCTTTCCTTTTTTCTCACTAAGTTCTTGTTGGCTTTATTCTTTCACAGGCTACAGAAATCAGAATACAGGGTGACTGGGTTTTTCTAAATAAACAGGGATGCTCTCTTGCTGCGTGCGTTGGGCCCGTGTTTGGTGCAGGAAGCCCCGAGTGCACACGGAGAGAGGATGCACCCGTGTCCCCTTGGCTCACAGATCCGTGGGTGGGTGTGGCCTGGATGGCAGGCGGGGTGAGCAGCTCAGCTGTGTCCGCTGACCAGCTGTGCCCGCGGGGCTTGCTGACGGGGCCCGCAGTGGTCAGAGACATGCGGTTTGGAGAGGGGCAGCAGTCCCGGCCCGCAGAATGTAACGTCCTACCTCGACCTTGAAGCCAGCCCCACAATGATGCTCTTAGATGAGAAGGTCCCGCTGGGCGCAGAGGACCATCAGCTGATGCCAGGGCTGAGCGTGGGCAGGGAGCCCCTCCAGGCCTCTGCTCTTCATCCCGATAATGGAGCTATGCAGCTGCATCAGGGTCTATAAAGCTCCAAGGACGCCACTGGATGGACGGCCACTCCCTACAGCCCTGTGGGAGCCTCGGGGGCCTCTGGGCTCCTGGGCTGCACCCCTGGAGCGGGGCTCACCATGAGGGGCTCCGGGCTCAGGATTAGACCTGTCGGGATCGTCATGGTGGGCCTGGCGGGCAAGGGCGTGAGGATGACTAGGAGTAACTGTTACACCCACGATCTCAGGGATGAGGGGGCTGGAGCCAGCCCACCCCAGGCCCTGGGAACTTCTCCAGGGGATGTGGACCAGGAGGTGGGAGGCGACCATGGCATTCGGGCAGAACTTTCAGGGGACAGATCCTGCTCCCCTGTGTCCCGTGTGTGTGTCACACACCCGTGAGTGCACGGGCACCCTAGTCAGGGCGGACGTCCAGCCAGGGGCCTGCCATCCTGGACGGGGTTCTGGAGGGCCTGGAGGCCTCAGCCGGGGGGTGATGCCTGGAGGCTGAGGGGGCTGGACCCGGGCCCACCCTGCAGGCCAGGGTCCAAACGGGCGTCCAGGCCCCCTGCTCCTAGGGCGGGAGAAGTGTGCCGTGATGACACCGAAGCCAATAGGCGGAGAGACTCGGCTGGACCAGAGGCCAGCTGGCCGTGGCCCCTCCTGCACACGCTCTTGCAGCCCTTTCCAGGGTCCGAGGGCTCACCTCACCCTCCTGCCCTCCCTCCACCCCGCCTCTGAACGAGTTCCCTCCTCCTGCAAGACGACAGAAGTCACACCGTGAAGATGTTGCTTCATCCATAAACACAATGATTTCAAGTCAGCGTACAGCCTCGTGACCATCAAAGCTGAAGCCAGCTCACACCCCAGACCCGGGGCCGCGGTTACGGTGGGAGGGCCCACTGGGCCAGGCAGGCGCGTCTCTAGGGCCCCACCGCCGGGCACATGGGCCTCCCGCCTCGGACTCCCGGAGCCCGTGCGGACCTCCTGACTAGTGCATAATTTGCGAACGTCGGGGGCTGGAGCCCATGGACAGCCGTCCGGCTCCCCCACGAGCCCGTCCAGACTGGAGCCCCCAGCAGCTGCCATCCATCACTCTTGGCCTGGGCCCCGCTTTCCGGTGATGGCTGTCCACGCAAGGGGACCAGCAGGGCCGGAGCCCCAGCAAGGGCAGTGATGGATGAGCGTGCCCAGCCGGACTGCACACCATAATGGTGATGAATACGGCTTGGACCTTTCTGGCAATAATGGTTGTTTATCCATTTTCAGACCCAGGAACAGCAATCAAGTTCCTTTAGCTGGCTATTAATTACTGTGTGGGCTCTGCGGTGGGGGCTGCGGGCTTTCTTTCCAGGGGTCCCATCTGTCACGGGAAGGGGCAGGCCCGCTCTGCGTCTCTCCTGTGAAGAGAGCTCTTCCAACAAAAGCTCTCCTGCAGCAGATGGGCTGGCGTGTGGGCTCCGAGCTGGACCACACAGGCCCCTCTGGAGGAAGCCAGCTGTGTCCTCCTGATGCTTCCTGCATCGGGGGGCCTCAGTCCCTGGTTTTGAGAGGCAATGGCAAAGAGCCTTGAAACCATAGCCTCCCCTGTACCCCTTGGTAACTGAGAGCTCCTTTTCTATGTCTGTGGGTCTGTTTCTGTTTCATATATGTAAGTTCATTTGTATCTTTTTTTTTTAATTTTAGTGAATTAGGAGTTTGGTGTTAACATATACATACTAACCATATATTAAATGGGCTTCCCTGGTGGTTCAGACGGTAAAGAATCTGCCTGTAATATAGGAGATCCGGGCTGGATCCCTGGGTTGGGAAGATCCCCTGGAAAAGAGCATGGCTACCCACTCCAGCATCCCTGGGGGATCTCATGGACAGAGGGGCCTGGCGGGCTACAGTCCGTGGGGTCACAGAGAGTCAGACAGGATGGAGTGACTTTCACACACACACACACACACACAAAACAGATAAACAAGGTCCTATTGAATAGCATAGGGAACTCTGCTCCATATTTTGTAATAATCTATAAGGGAAATGACTCTGAAAAGACTATCTATCTCTGTCTATAAAACTGAATCATTTTGCTGCATACCTGAAACTAATACAACTCTGCAAATCAACCACATTTTTATTTAAAAACCAGAGTGCGTCAAGACTGGATGGTATCTTGGTGGTCTGGATGTGGGGTGTGGGATCCGAGGTCCTGTGTGGGGCCGCTGGGGGACCTGCCCCGTCTCCTCAGACCTGAGCGTCCCAGCCACTGTCCAGGCTCCGTGCCAGATTCTGCTCAGGGCCACGTTTACCAAAAGCCTGTTTTCAGCTCCTGCAGCTTCCGGAGAGACAAGCAGAGCCTAGTGAAGAGGGTGTCCACACAAGGGGTCTGTACTAACCACCTGAATTATTAGTCTCACTAAAACCTCTGTTTACAGTTGGGGAAACTAAGTCCCACTCCGAGGATGTTCGAGGCTGATGCTGGCAGCTGGGAAGCTCGGGAGTGGGCTGCATCACCCCTTGCCTGTCAGGTCACAGCTCCCATCGGGACCCCCGTTTGCCTCGTGGGCAGCGCGGATGTGGCTGCGGTTTGCCGCCGGCACGGGGTGGTTTGGGATCCTTTTAGGGCCTCCCTGGCTCCCTTTCTTTAGGCGACAGGTCTGAGGTCTCCAAGGCCTGTGTGGCAGGACTCAGAGGTCCCACAGGAGGATGGATTTAAAAGGTAAAGCAGGCAGAGACAGTCAGCATGCTGGGGAGCGCTGGTCCCCGCAGTGTTCCTGATACCGTCTTTGTTCAGGGCCGCGTCCGGGTCTTATCAGGAGGGGAACTAAAAGCCCTTGTCTGCATGGTTGTAAATGGTTCTCCTTCTTCAAGAGATGTATTTCCTTCTTAGAGCATCGTCTTTGAGGAGGAGAGGAGGAGTAAGGACCATCTACTTATCTCCAAGCCACAGTCCAGGAGCACGTGATGTATGGGAACCTGGGTTACAAAGAAGATGCATTTAGGGACATCATTTATCTGCAAAAGAGCAGGAAAATCTATAAAATCTACGCTTGAAAGAGGACACACAGAGCCTTTCTTCAAGTGGCAGCTGTCACGTGCCCGCAAGTATTTACTGAGAGTTCACAGACGCCTGGGAGAAGCCACAGGCAGGGGCAGACAGGAGATTTTTGCAGACCCATCGGGGAAGCGGCGACCCATCAGCAGGAGAGTGGAACTGCATGAAGATTCTCAACGGCGCGTGGGGCACATACAGGGAGCCACACCTGAGAGGACCCCGCGGGGCTCAGAGCCGCGAGGGGCCGGGCTGCTTCCTCAGGGAGGGGCCGGGGCTGCGGGGGCCCCGCGGTCCCCCAGGGTCCCGGAGGGCGGAATCACACGCGTGGACCTGTCGGCCACCCGCCCCCGGCCTGCGGTTTCCAGGGAGCGTGCCGCCCTGCACACTGGCGGCCCCGGGGGCCGTGTGCCCCCTCGTGGAGTGGGTGTCGCGGCTGGCAGCTGCCAGAGCAGTCGCCACCCTCTCTGAGCGGCCTTGGGCTGTGGAAGGAGGGCTTGAGGCCCGGGAGGACTGGCGGGGCTGCTCTGTGACGTCCCCAGCCGGTGAGGGAGGGGGCCTGGGGCCGATGGTTACCCGCTGCTGGGCCGGTGTGTCCACGATGCGCCTTCATTCTGTGTTTATGAAGTAAACCGCCACGTAAGGTGGCTCATGCCGAGCACTGGGACAGAGCAGGTACAGAGTGAGGGGGTCTGTCCGTCAGGCGTCCATCCTGGCCTGGGGGCAGCTGACCCGACACCCGCCCAGTGACCCCTGGTGACACCCGCGGGGCCCCGGGCTCACCCGGGAGGAGTTCTGTCTACGTGGGCTCAGGGCGGCCTCAGTCCGCGTGCCCGGCAGAGCAGATCACAGGGTGTGGGGACCCCGCAGGGGGAGGCCAGCCGCAGGACGGGGGCCCTGGGGGGCTGTGCTGGGGGGCTCCCAGCAGGAGGGGTGCCTGTGGTCTGAGGCCTGTAGGGGTCTCTGAGGCTGGCCCCAGCAGGTGGGGTCGGGGGTGCCAGAGTCGGGCTCCCTTCGCAGAGAGACTGGAGGGGCCTGTGGGCAGAGCTGGAAGAATCCGGGGCAGCCAGGGTTAGGGGGGAATTGGATACGGGTCTTGAAGGTGGGAGGTGGGTGTGACGGGCCTGGGACCTAGGGGAAAGAGAAGCTCTGTCCTGCCTTCCTGGAAATGTGGGGCGGAGAGAAAGACCAAGAGGTCCAGTCTGGATAGCCACTGGTCCGCCAAGTGGCGGGCAGACTGGGCGAGGATGTTGCCAGCCACGGACATTCGGTTCCTTGCTCTAGAGGACACTCGAGCTGTGGAGGGAAGTGTCTCCAGGTTATGGAAGCTGAAGCCATGGGAACAGTTCACAGGAGAATCGAGGTGGGGAGACGCCCAGCCTGAAGGTTCCCCACACAGATGCCAGGCTCCCCACGCGGACCCCCCAGACCCTCTGCTGGGATTGGAAGATCCAGTCCCTGGAGAGAGTGTCCCCCCACCCACAGGCCCAGAGCTATCTGAGTGTTCCTCTAGAGGATGCAACTCCGTGTAGCCCTGCGGGAAGGCCCGTGGCTCCTGGACAGGGCGCCAGGGCCCTGGGCAGGTCCTGGAGTAACTCCACTGAGCAAGGATGCTTTGGGTGGGCAGGGGAGGGCGGGAGGGGACCCAGGACCCAGCATGTGAGGACCCATCAGGGGTGCCCGGCGGGGCTGGGCTGGGGCTGTGCTCCCTAACCCCGGCATTACAAAGACTGTGCTTTTCAGAGAACCGTAGTTATTGTTATTCGTTATATGTTTTATCTTTATCAAAATAATGCATATAATTATCTTAGACTTTCCAATAGGCCAGTGCATCCCAGACCCACCCCTCAGAGTAACCTCTGCCCCCGCTCAGCCGAAGGACCCCATTCATCCTGCCGACATCCTGCGATCACTTCCATCTGTTTAGGGAACAGGTCTGGGCTGATTTCTCATTTACCAGCTCTGACATGGAATGTTGACTTTCTGCTACAAAGTAACTCTGCCCACTTAGACCCCTCTCTGTGAGATTAGGTTACAAGTCTCTAAACCCCCACAGCCGTCTGCTTTGTGGGTGGAGCACCCTTATTTCCCGGGTCGTGGGCTCCGGTGGACAATCCAACAGCCGTCCTCCACCCCCTCGACTCCCCTCCCCGGGGGCCCCGGCTGGCTGTCCGCCTAGCCCCCCTCTGTTCTGTGTTATTAAGCTTTCGGGGGGCTGGGTCAGAACTCAGGCGTTGTGCCAGCATCATAGATGAACCAGCAGATTTCCAGACCCGGAGCCAAGGCATTGCCTTCCTCAGAAGGCTGTTTTGGGTTTTCTCAGCTGGCCTTTCTCTTTTCCCGCTGTTCTTTCCGTTTACAACGCCAGTAAGCGCCTTGAACTCCTTAAAGGCTCCTTGCTTCCTCTCGGCCAACAGACCCTGTTCCTGCAGATGCCGGGCTCCCGGGGCCCTGCTCCACTAGGACCCTCATGATCCCTCAGAGGCGCCTGCACGTCGGTGGGCTTAGGACTCTCCCCCGAGGGCGGTCAGCATGCATCCGCCCCCCACACTCAGCACACAGTTCAGGGGGCAGGGTGTGCATCTCGGGTTTGGCTCCAGACGTAGGGACGTGGGAGGGGGCCAAGGAGCGGACTGGAAAGGGGACGAGGGAGGAAGCCCCCAAAACAGAGGGGTGGGAATCTCACGGGCAGGGGCCTCTGAGCCCGGACTTACCCTTGAGGCCCCTGCAGGCCCCTGAGGGCAGGCGGCCAGGACTCTGCTCCCGACGCCCGGGACTCAGCTGAGCAGGTGGGGCCAGGATGCGGCCCGAGGGGGCCTTGCCCGTCCCTGCCCCTGCTGGTGCCTCTGGAGCCTTCGCCCTTTTCACGCAGCCTCCCCTGGGCCCTCCAGGGTCGCCTCGGGGAACTCCGACCCTCGCGCGCTGCTCTTTGGGCCTTTCCCTGCCCCAGTTTTGCTGGGCGTCTGGTACCCACAGCCCTGGGCTTCCCGCAGAGGCCCTTCTTGTCACTGCAGTCACTCGTCTTGCCCGCCGTTTGGGGAATTGGACAAAGAAATAGGTAAAACTTTTAAACAAATTCTGAGCAGCTCCCTGCCTTCATTGCCCTGACCCTGCAGGGGTCCACATCCCAGTGGCGGCCTGCCCGAGGACGCTCAGCCCCCTCGGCAGGATTCTCTGTGTGTGTACGCAAAGGCGTGTATACACGCACACCACACACACAGCACAGACACACGTGCACACACGCACGCACGCACACACCCACGGGCGTGCCCACCAGGCCTCCTCCGGTCGCCAATGCTCAGCTGTGCGATGGGCTTTCTCTCCTGGGAGGTGTCTACGGGGCCTTTCGGGACCAACGTTTTCTTCTCTGTGTGGTGTCTTATGTAGATAAGCCTGGCAGTCCCTGGAAGGGATGTGTCCGGTTTAAGCTCGTCGGGCCGCGTCTTCGCGAAGGGCTGCTGTCGCTTTCCATCAGCTCTCGCGCTCGTGGCCTGCAGATGTCCGCCGAGTCCACAGCTGCACCTCCCGCCTCCTCGTTCGGCTTTGAGAGGAATTAGCCCTCCTGTTGTCACTTTCTACATCAACACTGACGGTTTCCAAGATGACTTTGCCAGTCCTTACTTACGCCAAATGCTTCTCGCTACTCGGTTCCCCTGGAAGCTCCCCCGACTTAATTACCCGGAGTCGGCAAGCCCCGAGGACGTGCAGGCGCTCAGGACGCACCACTTCACTCAGAGCGGCCGAGAGGCCCGTGGCCATGGCCGTGGAGCCCCGTCTTCTCCGCAGACGTCTCTGCACGTGGCTGGGCTTCCTCTCGTTGATTTCTAGGAGGCTTTTACAAAATTTGCTCTGAATATCAATCTGGCTTCTGTTTTATATCTGAGATATTTTTCTCTGCAGGTAACCTGTGTTTCCCTTTTCATTTATGGTGGTTTTTGTTGTAACACTGTTGCAACTGTGTAAGGTAGCCAGCATTATTTTCATCACTTCTGGGTTTCAGGTTTTGGTTCAGAAAACTTAGCTTGTTCCACAATTACAGCTCGTCTCTCAGCATCTCCCGACCTTCGTGTGCAATGATTTGTTCCCTTTTGCGGGAACATCGCCAGCCTGAATCGGTGTTGGGGTGTCTTCCCCTGACAGCCTTAGGTAGAGAGAGGGTGGGCCCCCTCTTCTCCGGATGTGGGGACTGCAGCTCCGAGAATGCTTTCCCTTTTCCCCACAAATGGCTTCGATTGAACAACCAGTAACAGACGACATAGACACGTGATGGAGGACTCTGCGCCCGTGCTCTGTAGCCTGAGATGGGGTGGAGGGGTCACGCCACCCCCGTGACCCCTTCTGCACAGATGTGCCCCTGGCCCCCAGCTCAGGGGGAGAGAGGCCGGCCCACCCTCGGGCCACCCAGAAGCCCCTCTCTGCGTGGCTGCGAGGGTGTCACCTGTGGGCCGCGGGGGTATCGCCCTCTGTAGGGCTGTCTGCTGTGTTTGCAGCTTCTCAGCCCAGCGTGCCCAGCTGTCCTGACCCTTCACGTCCACCCGAGCGCTGGCCTGGGGTCAGCCGTCGCCTTGGACCCCTTTGTCATCTCAGAGGCCCTTTATGCCTTGTGGCCTCATGAGCCCCAGAGCCAGGACAGGTGTCTGACGTGGGGTCGGGCAGGGAGGTCTGGCTGGCATCTCGGGGGAGAGAGACCCTTCCCTGCAGTGCCCCTGCTTCAGACGTGTTCACTGCATGCCCGTGTGAACCACAGAGACAGCTCAGAAACCACATGGATCGGGTCACCTCACCCCATCCGCTGTGTCTGCCTGCTGATGACGGGTTTGTTTTCCCCACTTACAGCACGTCTCGTCTGTCTTTCCGTGCCAGACGCACACACTGGACTGTTCTCTGGGCCATCGAGGGGTCCTTAGTACAAATGCTGAGGGATACAATGTGAGGGGCATGTGGTCCTTCTCAGAGGGGGGCTGGCGTCCCCCAGACCCGGCTGGCCCCCACCCCGAGAGCCCCTGCAGACACACACAAGTGACAGAGGAGGTCGGGCCTGCTCATCTTTGTCCTCCAGGGATGGGCAGGCTGAGCCCTGTCCCAGGCCGAGTGAGGACCTGGGGCGGATGGAGCTGTGCCCTGGTCTTGCGGTCACAAGGCATCTCTGATCGCTGCTGCCCATCCCGCTGGTCTGGGGTCCACGTAAACATTTCCTTTTCCTGCTGACAGCTCGGGGTCCCCTCTGATCCCCAGGGGAGGCTCACACTTCCCGCCTGCTCGGGCCTCCCCGACCCGACCTCCCGCCCCAGCTCTGCACCGAGAGCCCTCTGCACACGTGTGTGTACATTCAGGTGTGCAAGGCCCACGGCTCGGGAGACAGTGGCCCCCAAAAAGATTCCTCAGTGCCCACGGCTCCAGAGAAGGGGCCGCCATGCCCTGGGGCCACGGGGACGGACGCACAGGTCACTCGGGCCGAGAGGGAGGCAGCTGCGGGGACGTGCCCATCAAAGCAGCTGGTGGGGGCAGGGAGGGGTGGGCTGTGGGCTCGGCCCGTTCCTTCGAGTGTGGGCTCACGGGAGGGGGCCGGCTGTTTCCAGGGGCTGGGAGCTCTGAGAGGGGCCATCCTCCCTGGTCAGCAAGGCTCTGGATCACAGCCTCAGGTGCAGAAACAGGCCATGAGGCCAGCACAGTGGTGTGGTGAGCCCTCCCGCAGCTCCTGCCACCCTCTGCCCCATCTCAGGAAGCCTGCACTGGCAGTCGGGCAGGTCCTCCCATCTCCATCACCCAGGTGCGTCTTCAGCAGCCCGTCTGCTCCGGGGACACAGACTGCAGGCGAAGCCAGAGCCCTGTGGGCGCCCGGGGGCCAGACCATGCCCGAGTGGGGCCCCCAAGCCTCTGCCCCGACCTGCATGCTGGGGAGCCACCAGCCCTCCACGGAGTCAAAACTGAAAGATTTTCATCAGCTCCAGCAGATTCCCTCTCATCTGGACTAATTAGCAAGACTTCCCTGTTTACGGAAGAAAAATTGCCTTTCACGCCTGGCTGCGCTTCTTTGCCATTAATTACCGCCGGGTGTGTCAGTTCCAGGGCCCCTAGGCAGGTGACAGGGACCACCTCCTCACCAGACGACACTCCTCCTCTTCGGGGAGGAGGGGCAGGGAGGACCGGGAGAAGGCCCAGGGGATGCGTCCGGCCCGTCACCGATTCCTCAGGGAGACTTGGAGCCAAGGCCTGGCACCCGGCCACCGGGGCTTCTTGGGGACCCACATTCTCCAAGAGTGGGGAGTGGCCAGGGGCTGGAGATCCTGGGCACAAGGGTCTAACGTCCTTAAGGCCATTTTGGTGTTTTCTGCGGACGAGGCTACGATAAAAGATAACCCAGGAGACACAGGACCTTTGAATGACCCCGAGGTCCCACTGTCCAGCCACTTCCCTGCAGACTGTCCTCCTCCTTGGGGCGGGGCTCAGACAGGGAGGAGCTGGGCCCTCAGCACCTGGGACCCCAGGGAGCCCCCACCTCTGCCGTGGGTCCTGGCTCCCCAGAGACCCCCGGCAGGTTGTGGAGAGGTTGCAGGTCAACCTGGGGACCACTCCCCACCTGGCCCTGCGGGCCAGCCTTGGGCGACCTGGGGGAGGGGCTGCTCATTTGCAGAACCTTCTCAGAGGAGTGTTGATTGAGTTAAAATTGGATTTCTGCTCAGATTGATTATCTAATGTGATAGAAAAATATACAGTCTGGGAGCAAATTTAGATTTCAGTGAAAAATTAAACTGTTATACCAAGCTGCCCACTGAAGCGTTAAGCGTATTCTCTCTGTAATTATATCTGCAGACAGCCGGCGAGGACCGTCACTGCAGCCGCCGGGCCCGAGGACCGCAGGCAGGCACACTCCACCTCCGAGGCGTCCGGAAGAGGCCTAATTGATTTCCTGGGGTCTCTGCGTCGGCAGGAGGCAGCTCTCTGGTTTGTGGGGAGGAACACACAGCGTCCCCCGCTCCCAGATGCTGGACTGTGGAGAATGAAGCCGCTGAGGCGTCACGGGGGCAGCCGGAGGAGAGCTGAGGTGGCAGAGATTCGGCAGCCACGGGTGTCAGGGGGGAACTGCCCGGCCCCACTGGTGACCTCAAAGGCTGGGACCGGAGCCCTGCCTGGGCACACCCTCGGGCCCACACGGAGGCTTACGAAAGTGAACTCGGGCCACAGCCCCGCCCCCCGTGATGTGCCCGTTCAGCCCCCCACGGGCAGTCGTGGGGCTCCTCAGATCCTGGGGCGCGGGCTCTCACGGCACAGAGAAGCCAGCATCGCTGGACTCTGGGGGTCTCTCCCCCCTCCCCTGGTCAGCACCCTCTGTCTTGGCCAGGTGGGCTCCCTGCCCCCACCCTGGCCTCCCTCCTGACCCTCCCAGGGGCATCACGCCCACTTCATAGATGACATTGGTTCCAACGTGGCCTTCACGAGTGAACACACGGAGAGAGGAACGCATAGGACAGTCAAGCGGGGCTCAGGGCGATTTGGAACCCTGTGCAGAGAACCGCGGGGTGGAGCGGCCAGCACAGCTGTCCTCGGCGCCCGCTTCGGTCTGCTCGTGGACCGTGGGCCTCCAGGACACTCCCCCCGCAGCTGGGATGCAGGGCCCGGCGGCTCCCACGAGGCCTTTCTAACCTGTGCAGGACTCTGCTGCCTGTCACCCTCGGATGATCGGATGGCAAAGAATTGGGAGTGCTCATGTCGAGGGACGCAGCGCGCTCTCCACACGCCTGCCACGCTCACACACACACACCTGCCACACTCACACGCCTGCCACGCTCATGCACACGTGCCTGCCATGAACATGCGCCTGCCACGCTCACGCTCACGCGCCTCCCACGCCCACGCACGTGCGCCCGCGCCGTCCGGGGGCAGAGCCATCCACGCCGAGGACGCCCGCCCCCTCGCAGGTGCCTGCGGGTGTCCCCCGTTCAGAGTCGCAGAGCCCGGGGCCTGGGGACGGAGGTGAGACGGGGCTGTGCGACCCTGCCGTGAAGGTCAGACACGGTTCTGCAGGCTCGGGGCCCTTCCTTCCCGCCTCTGGTTACTCCTCTGCTGACAGACCGCTCTGCCGGGACACAGGGGTTTGGAGTCTCTGAGCGGCTCTCAGAGCTGGGGCCTCGGTCTGAAGACTTTCCCAAGGGAACTTAGCTCGTAAGAACTCAGGGTCACGGGGGAGCCACCTGAAGGAGAGAAACGTGAGGGCAGCAAAAGTCCCTGGATCTCAGCTCAGGGCTGGAGAAGGACGTGGATGGACGCGCCTGGTGCGGGCCCAGCCTCGCCCGGTCCGGGGAGCGCGGGGCTGGACGCAGGCTCTTGGCCACGCCTGCTGCTGCCCGCGACCACAGCCCTGATCCACCGCTTTATCCAGAGGAGGGTGCGTTACCGTGTTTGTCAGGGTTCTCCAGAGAAACGGAACCGATGGGAGATGGATAGATAGATAATAGATAGATGATGATGACAGACAGATAGATAACAGATTGATGACAGATAGGTAGATAATAGATGATGATGACAGATGAAAGATTGATGATAGATAATTGGTAATTGATAGATATAGATATATGATAGATGATGATAGGACATAGAATAGATAATTGATAGATAATAGATAGATGATAGATAGATGATAGATAGATAATAGATACAGGTAAGTCAGTTCAGTTCAGTTCAGTCGCTCAGTCGTGTCCTACTCTTTGTGACCCCATGAATCGCAGCACGTCAGGCCTCCCAGTCCATCACTAACTCCCAAAGTTTACTCAAACTCATGCCCATCGAGTCGGTGATGCCATCCAGCCATCTCATCCTCTGTCGTCCCCTTCTCCTCCTGCCCCCAATCCCTCCCAGCATCAGGGTCTTTTCCAATGAGTCGACTCTTTGCATGAGGTGGCCAAAGTATTAGAGTTTCAGCTTCAGCTTCAGCATCAGATGTAGGTAAGTAGATAATAGATAACTGACAGATAGATGACAGACATGGAGACAGAGACTGAGATGCATCAAGAGATGTAAGCAATGGGCATCCCAGATGACCTCACCTGCCTCCTGAGAAATCTGTATGCAGGTCAAGAAGCAACAGTTAGAACCAGACATGGAACAACAGGCTGGTCCCAAATTAGGAAGGGAGTCCATCAATGCTGTGCATTGTCTCCCTGCTTATTCAACTTCTATGCAGAGCACATCATGCAAAGTGCAGGCTGGATGAAGCACAAGCTGGAATCAAGATTGCTGGGAGAAATATCAGTAACCTCAGATATGCAGATGACACCACTTTTGTGGCAGAGAGTGAAGAGGAACTAAAGAGCCTCTTGATGAAGGTGAAAGAGGAGAGTGAAAAAGCTGGCTTAAAACTCAACTTTCAAAAAACTGAGATCATGGCATCTAGTCCTATCATTTCATGGCAAATAGCTGGGGAAACAGTGGAAATAGCGAGAGACTTTTTTTGGCTCCAAAATCACTGCAGATGGTGAATCCAGCCATGAAATTAAAAGACGCTTGCTCCTTGGAAGAAAAGTTATGACCAGCCTAGATAGCATATTAAAAAGCAGAGACATTACTTTGCCAACAAAGGTCTGTCTAGTCAAGGCTATGGTTTTTCCAGTAGTCATGTATGGATGTGAGAGTTGGACTGTAAAGAAAGCTGAGTGCCGAAGAATTGATGCTTTTGAACTGTGGTGTTGGAGAAGACTCTGGAGAGTCCCTTGGACTGCAAGGAGATCCAACCAGTCCATCCTAAAGGAGATCAGTCCTGGGTGTTCATTGGAAGGACTGATGCTGAAGCTGAAAGTCTAAAACTTTGGTCACATCATGCGAAGAGCTGACTCATGGAAAAGACCCTGATGCTGGGAGGGATTGGGGGCAGGAGGAGAAGGGGACGCCAGGGGATGAGCTGGTTGGATGGCATCACTGACTCGATGGGCATGGGTTTGGGTGAACTCCAGGAGTTGGTGATGGACAGGGAGGCCTGGCGTGCTGCGGTTCACGGGGTCACAAAGAGTCGGACACGACTGAGCAACTGAACAACAACAAAGAGATTCACTGTGAGGAACTTGCTGCCATCACGGTGGAGTCTGAGGAGGTCTGTGGTCTGTCATCTGCCAGCTGGAGCCCAGGACAGCTGGGGTACAGCTCCAGTTTGCTTCCAAAGGCCTGAGACCCAGGGGATGTGGAGGTGAACACCCGGCCTGAGGGCAGTGGACCAACGCCCCAGCTCAGCAGTGAGGCAGAGAAAGTGACTTCCTTTCCTTTCTTAGCTCTGTCCAGACCCTCAGAGGATCAGATGAGGCTCCCCTGTATCCTTACTCCACTTCTCCTTTCAAATGCTCACCTTGTCCAGACGCCCGACGCCCCTCGCCACAGACACACCCAGAATCATGCTGGACCCAGTCAGTTGACCCATAAAGTTCCTGTCGAGGTCCCGGGTTGAAGGATGAGGGTGGTGATGCCATGGAGCCAGCCTGTGACAGCTGGGTGGCTGCAGCCCCCTCACCCCGCTGACCCGCGTCCACGGCCTCCTCACCCCGCTGGCCCGCGTGCCATGGTGCAATGCTGGTGGCCAGCGTGCTCCCCATCAGGGTCGTGGGAGAAACCCGTTCCTCTGCTCAGGGGCTCTTCTGTGGTAACCGTGAGGCTCTCGCCCGAGAACTTCCTCCGGACGACACCCCAGCCCCCATGGTGCCCCAGGCAGTACCAGTGGCCTACTCCTTTCACCATGTCAGTCACTCTTCTCAGCGCAAGCCCACCCCGAGCTCCTGGTCACTCACTCATTCAATTGACACCAGGGGTCAGAGGGGAGGGCACGCTGCAGGTTTGGCCGAGGCAGGGCGGGCGGGAGAATGTGGCCTTTCTGGCCCAGGTGTGACGATCCCATCCGCTGCCAGCTAAGTGCGTGATGACCACATCACGGGGGCAGGGGGGTTCAGGCCTGCTCCCCCGCCCTCTCCGGAGCTGGCCGGCAGCGGAGTCCCAGTGCTCTCAATTTATGGCTGGACAGCGGCTTCTGGCCCTGGCAGACCCCTCATGGGGTCAGCTTGCAGAGTCTGAAGTCTCAACACTGCTCCTTTCTGAGCAGAAGGAGCAATTGCAGAGATGTACCACCAGCAAACGCAAGCCTTCCAAAGCCTCAGGGCCACTCCCGAGAACGTCTCCAAGACACGGGAGACTGGCCTGAAGCTCCCTCAACTCTGGGAACTGCCCCCCAGGCCAGCATGAAGTTACCAGCTGCCCGCCTGGCTTCACTGTAATGTCCCCAGGTGCTCACCAAGCCTCCCCGGAAGCCTCACCAGAGACTGCATCGCAGGGACCACAGGACCGAACAGCAGGAGCAGACAGACTCTGGCTCTGCTTCCTGGGGCAGACTGACTGACAGGAGACTGCTGGCATCAGCCCCTACTGAAAGGCCCACCGTGACTAGTGAATAAAGTATGTTCACACGTATTCAATTGGTAATAAAATAAAATGGCCAGCAATGATTGTTGGAGAGAAGGAGAATTTCCTGGATCTCTCACTTTATTCTTAGAAGCACAAACTTGTGAGAAACATTGGGAAATCTCTCAGGCATCCTTTTCCAGCATCAAGCATCACCTGCACGTGACTCACAGTCACCTTTCTAGGAATTTGTCTGAAGGAGCCTCTTGAACATGGACCGGGAGACACATACACGAGCACCCACATATTCGTCATGGCAGCAAAACTTAGGAACAACCTGCGGTTATCTGCAAACTTTGCATAAAAGTAAAGAAACAAGCTGAAAATATTTTAGGATATTACCAACAAGATGGAGGACTAGGAGTTTCCAGCCCTCATTCCCCCAGAGACAGACGAATTTTAACAACCAGCCATGAACAGGACCACCTTCATGGGAAATCAGGAGTACAGCTGAGAGCTTCGGCAGCCTAGAGAGCAAAACGATCTCAGACACAGTGACGATGAGAAACCTGATTCACGCCACCGCCTCCCCGCCGCAGGTGGAAGCTCCCCGAGAGGCCCCCTCCGTCCAGTTTCTCCCACAGAGGAACGTGAGGACACAGTGAGTGCCTGGCTTCCCCATCCCTGTGGGGTCTGCCCAGGCGCCCACTTCTGTCTCACCCTCCCCCGGAACGCCGAGACGACCAGCGCGGGTGAGCCGTCTGGGGGCAGAGGAGGGCGGGGTCAGGTTCACAGTCAGTCTGTCCCAGGTTCACGGCGCAGATCTGAAGCCGCCGTGGATCCCGTTAACCGGGCTCAGACTCCACCAAGAACCGCACGAGACACGTGCCTGCTGATCCCAAACCTGCTGCCATGTGCTCCAGACCCCCACGTTCCCGCCCTGTAGCTGGTGCCCTGACCCCCCAGGAATGACAGGCACAAGCCCTTGCACACGGCGCAGAGATGGCAGCCACCAGCTTGGAGGTGATACACAGGGAGGAGGCGCAGAAACGAACACTCAGGCACATCCCCTGGGAAAATAAATGAGAGGCTCTCAGCCTGCAGCCCACCTTTTTGGCATCCAGAGGAAGAAAGCAACCGTAAGACCCCCCCCAACAGAAAACAAGCAGAGAGAATCATAAGACCCCCCCCAACAGAAAACAAGCAGAGAGAATCATAAGACCCCCCCCAACAGAAAACAAGCAGAGAGAATCATAAGACCCCCCCCAACAGAAAACAAGCAGAGAGAATCATAAGACCCCCCCCAACAGAAAACAAGCAGAGAGAATCATAAGACCCCCCCCAACAGAAAACAAGCAGAGAGAATCATAAGACCCCCCCCAACAGAAAACAAGCAGAGAGAATCATAAGACCCCCCCCCAACAGAAAACAAGCAGAGAGAATCATAAGACCCCCCCCAACAGAAAACAAGCAGAGAGAATCATAAGACCCCCCCAACAGAAAACAAGCAGAGAGAATCGTAAGACCCCCCCCAACAGAAAACAAGCAGAGAGAATCATAAGACCCCCCCAACAGAAAACAAGCAGAAAGAAGTGGGCGCACCCACTGAAAAGTTCAGAGACCCTCAGAATTTCTAGCCAGGCTGACTGGTCTTTCTCTCCCAACGCCAGTAAGTAAAGCATGGAGGAGACAATTGTCTCTTCAGATGTGTTGGCAGCAACACACGTCTTTGAGGAACACAAAAAAATTAAGAAAACAGGACACCAAAGAAGAAACAAATCAAGTTCCTGTAGCTGATATTCCAAAGAGAAGTCTGACAAGAATTTCAACAGAATCATCTTACAGAGGCTCAGTGAGCTATGAGAGAATACACAGAGATAAATAAAGAAAATTAGGAAAACAACCCAAGAACAAAATGAGACGTTCAATAAAGTAACCATAGAAAGGAACCAAGCAAGTTTTAAAGCTGAAGACTACGATAAGACTGACTATCAGTGTATTTCTCAGCAGAAGTCTTGTGGGACCTGAAAGAGTGCAATGATATGCTCAAAGTACTACAGCAACAACAGCAACAAAATAAACAAATGATACAAAATTAAAGCACCCAGGCCAACCAAGAACGCTTTACTCAGCAAAGCTGTGCTTCAGAAATGAAATAGAGACAAGGACTTTCAGACAAAAGCTATGGGAGTTCATCGCCACTAGACCTGCCCTACAAGAAACTCTAAGGGAGTTCTGCAGACTGAAACAGAAGGGTATTAGACAGCAACACGAAAGCGCATGAAAGTGTGGATCCCACTGGTAAAGGTTAAGCATAAGGGCAATATTTCTCAAAAGAAGACAAACAGTTGGCCAACATGTACATGTTCAACACCACTAATCCTCAGGGAAAAACAAATCAAAACCCCAGTGGTAAACCACCCTACTTCTGTTAGCATGCCTATTATTAGTTTTTTAAAAAGATAGCAAGTGTTGATAAGGATGTAGAGAGCAAGGACCTCCAGTGAACTGCTGGTGGGAATGGAAGCTGGAGCAGCTACTGCGTAAAACCACGTGGCGGTCCCTCGAAATTTAGAGAGGTGCTACCGTAAGACCCAGTAACCCCTCTCCTGTGTGTTTATCTGGAGGAGGTTCAACGAGGCTCTCAAAGCGATCTCTGCACCCCCAGGGTCATTGCACCATCATTCACAATGTCCAAGTTATGGAAATAACCTAAACATCCCCTGATGGAAGAACAGATAAAGAAAATGTGACCTATACACACAGCGGAATATTACTCAGCCATAAGCAAAAACGAAATGCTGACATTTGCAGCAACGCGGATGGACTTGGAGGGCATTATGCTAAGGGAAATAAATCAGACACAGAAAGACGAATATTGTATAGACACTTGCATATACATATGGTAATTATACATATTGTATAGACAGATATTGTATAGATATTTGTATATAAATATTGAATATTGTACATATTGTATAGACATATGCATATTGTATAGACATATCGTAAAGACAAATGATATATAATATCACTTACATGTGGAATCTAAAATAGTCAAACTCACAGAAGCAGAGAGTAGAACGTTCTTTGACACAGGGGGTGGGGGCATGTGCTGGTGAGGGTCAAAGGGTACAAAGTTCAGTCGTACAAGCTGAGTAAACCCCACCAGCGCACAACGCCTCTAGCTCACATTATTGCCTTGTACACTCAGCATTTGCTCATGGTAGAACTTGTTAGGTGCTCTTACCCCATGCTCACATACAGATGATAACAATGTGAATAATATTAGTGGTGGGAGGAAGCCTCCAAAAGAAGTGGAATATCTAAGCCCTTGACATTGGTGATGGTGTCATGGGTGTACACTTACCCCCAGATGCACGGAATTCTCACAGACTCTGCACGGACACTGCAGTCTGCCCCAGTAGCACCAACAGGGTCACAGACAACACGGAAGGCGTCGGTGCGGCTGTGTCCCAGTCAAACCCCATCTCCAAACTCAGGAGGCAGTGGGACCGGCCCTGGGGCAGGAGTGAACTGCGGTGCAATGGGACCGATGGACAGGACGCCTCTAAGCGAAGAAGTCAGATTTCCACCGTGCGCTGTTCTCATAGGCACGCTTCACAGTGCACTTAAATGCGGCCAAACGCACGTGACGGACAGGAGGTGTGACAGGGCAGAGCGCATCTGCCTCCGTCTCAGAGCTGATCCTCTTCCTGAGCTGAGCCCTGCCGTCCGCACCTTCTGTGACAGCACGCTGCTGCAGCCTCAAGCAGACAGGGGCGCCCCTTCTCAGGGCTCGGAGCGGGGGGTCTGTTCGTACAGAGACTGAAGTTTGCAGAACAGAGAGCGGCTTGTGTCTTGCTGGAGATCTGTAGGGACATTGTGACCTGACCTACCCGGGCAGCTACAAAAATAAAGGATTCTGACACCGAGAAGTTTGCAACACCCAACCACACCGCTCCCTCACTTGGCCTGTGAAAGTGCTTTGCTGAAACCGTTGTGGGAGTTTGGGGTGTTTTGGCCACCAGCCGTCCGTCTCCTTGCGTAGCCTGCATACGCCTTTCTCTGCTCCAAGTGCTGACCTTTGGGTTGGTTTGGCATCAGCGTGCATCAGCCGCAGGAACTTGCATTTGGTAACAGAAGGGAGGGGTGAAACCTGGACCTGGACGCTGCTCACCTCAGGTGTGTGGAGGTGCCCTGGGTGGGGCTGGATGGACCCTGCTTTCAGACACAGGCTGTGATCGAGGCACTGAGAGCTACATGGGGAGGTGGGTCCACGACACCCTCCGAGACAACTGGAAAGTGATGGATGTGTTCTTTGCACCTGGGAGGTGCTGGAAGAGAAGGGAGGGAAGAAGAGGAGGGAGGAGGAGGGGGGAGGGAGGGAGGGGGGAGGAGGAGGGAGGAGGAGGAGGAGGGAGGGAGGGAGGAGGAGGAGGGAGGAGGAGGAGGAGGGAGGGGAGGGAGGGAGGGAGGGGAGGGAGGGAGGAGGAGGGAGGAGGAGGGGGAGGGAGGGGAGGGAGGGAGGGAGGGAGGGAGGGGAGGGGGGAGGGAGGGAGGAGGGAGGAGGGGGAGGAGGGGGGAGGAGGAGGAGGGAGGAGGAGGAGGGAGGGGAGGGAGGAGGAGGGAGGGGAGGGAGGGGAGGGAGGAGGGGGAGGAGGAGGAGGAGGAGGAGGAGGAGGAGGAGGGAGGGGACCCTTCCAAACAGGACAGGAGCAGCAGGGAGCTGGGCGTGGCTTCCTCCAGCGGGGTTTGGAGCTGCCCCGCTGCTTTGCCTAGAGTGCCTGTCCGTCCCGGTCTCGCTCCTTGGGGCACGGAAGGAAGAGGGGAGCCGCGAGGGTGGCCTGGCGCGTGGCAGAGCTGAGCGCTGCGCTCCCGCAGCCCCGGGCCGGCGGAGTCCTGCACGCTGAGTGGAGGAACTCTCGCCAGACGCTGTCTAAACGCGGTGGGCCCTTCAGAGAGCCTGGCTTTTATTTATTAGAGAGGTTTTATCTGCTAAGTGCTTTTCAAGGGTTTGGAACACCCTGAGGGCCTTCAAAGGTGGTGGGAGGAACTCCCGCTCGCCTTCTCGTTTGTCAGCCGCCCAGGGTGCCGGAGGCAGGGAGGGCGTCCGCCCCGGCGACCCCGGCCCATCACTGTGCCCCACTCCAGCCTCCTCGCCACCAGAGCTCCCCCACCAGAAAGATGAATTAACACAAGTGCATGACTTAGGCTTCTGTGTTGAGTCGCAGAAACAGCCATACATAGCAACGATGGTTCCTCCTTACGTTAGGAAAACACTTTAGATTTTTTGAAAACTCCAGCATTAAACATTTTCTTCTTTCATCCTAACAAAGTCCAGGGAAGCGAAACAGTGGGCTTCTGGACTTGGCTCCTGGGAATGCCTGAGTGCTGACCGTGGACTTCCCAGAGATTCTGTGAGCTCAGGGGAAAGCACGGCATTTTAAGCCTTCAGTTATATTAACTGATAATTAAAGACATTATAGTAATTAAAAAAGCAATGGAATATATAAAGAAGTCCTCAACAACAAAGAATAACGCAGCTCACAAATGGGCAAAGGAGTGGAATAGACATTTTTCCAAAGAAGATACCCGGATTGCCAATAACTGTGTGAGAAGATGTTCAGTGTCATTAGCCACCGTGGAAGTGCAAGCCAGCCTCGGAGAAACAGCACCTCACGTCGGTGAGGGCGGCTGTGGCCGAGAAACGGACACCAGCAAGCGTTGACGGGGGCGCGGAGAAGCGACCCCTGGGCTGCAGCCCCCCAGGCTCATCCGCCCTTGGGAATCTGCAGGCAGGGATGCTGGACTGGGCCGCCGTGCCCTCCAGGGATCTGCCCGACCCAGGGACCAAAGCCCCGTCTCCTGTGTCTCCTGCATCGCAGGCGTTTTCTTTACTGCTGAGCCACCAGGGAAGCCCTGGAGAATAGATTAGTGGCTCCTCAAAAAGGTAAACAAGTATCACACAATCCAGCGAGTTCACTCCGAGGCATGTACTCAGACATAACAGGGACTCAAAGAGATTCTCGTGCACTCAATTCTTAGCCCAGCAACCAATGTGGGCATGACCCAAGTGCCCATCAGCAGATGGATGGAGAATAAAACAGGATCCACCCATGCAAGGGAATATTCTCCAGCCTTAAAAAGGAAATTCTGACACCTGCTATAACACGGACGAACCTTGAGGGCATCACCGTCAGTGAAATAAGCCAGTCACAAGAGGGCAGGCACCCTGTGACCCCGCTCATATGACGTCCCCAAAGAAGTGAAGTTCAGAGACAGAACACAGAAAGGCGCTTGTGGAGCAGGGCAGGGCAGGGGAATCAGTGTTTAAGGGCACAGAGCCTCAGTTTGGGAACATGAGAAAGCTCTGCAGATGGATAGTGGGGATGGTTGTACATGATGTGAATGTACTTAAAGCCCCTAAATCATGCACTTAAAATGACTAAATTGATATTGTATTTCATATTATACATGTGTGTGTTACCCTGAAGCTGAAGCCTCAATTCTTTGGCCACCTGATGCAAAGGGCTGACTCATTGCAAAAGACCCTGATGCTGGGAAAGATTGAAGGGGGGAGGAGCTGGATGGCTGGATGGCATCACCGACTCAATGGACATGAGTCTGAGCAGGCTCTGGGAGTTGGTGATGGACAGGGAGGCCTGGCGTGCGGCAGTCCATGGGGTCGCAGAGAGTCGGACACGGCTGAGCGCCTGAGTAACACGGCCCTCCCTGGGGGCCTCTGCCCTGGGGGTTCTCACACAGCTTTGGAGCCACGGGAGGTTTCTTACGAAGCTTCCTAACCCACCCCACCCCTGTCCCCCCGCCCCCACCCTCGTCACCCCGCCCCCACCCCGGCCGCCCGCCCGCAGGGATGACAGGGGTGGGTCTGGGTGATGAGCATCTCATCTCTTGTGTCCACTTTGGGGCTGAACCACTTGCTAGCGTCCTCATTTGACCTTGACTGGCCTCCTCAGGTGGTGTTTTCAGAGAGCGCATCCCCCACAGGGGTTTATGCGTGCTAAGCCACTTCAGTCGTGTCCGACTCTCTGTGACCCCTTGGACTGTAGCCCACCAGGCTCCTCTGTCCATGGGATTCTCCAGGCAAGAATCCTGGAGCGGGTTGCCATGCCCGCCTCCAGGGGACCTTCTTGACCCAGGGATCGAACCCGAGTCTCCTGTGGCTCATGCATTGGCAGGCAGGTTTTTTATCACTAATGCCACCTGGGAATCCCATTTTAAAGAAATAGATCGGGATAGGTTCCTAACTGGAGAAGAATCACATATTCATTCTAGAAAAGATTTGAAATACAGAACTGTACGCAAAATGAACATAAACCACTTGTAACTCAGCAGTTGTTTTAATTCCTTATGCAATGTTCCCTGAGGCTCTTTTATGACAATACACCATCTCCCCCGAAATTGGGGTTACACTGTCTGTATTGTTTACAAACAGATTTTATTGAATTTAAAGAAATTAATGTGTAATGAACAACCTGACTCTTTACAAAATGTGTTAGTCATGGTTCTCCAGAGAAGTAGAACCAATAATGTGTGCACGTGTGTGTGTGTGTGCATGTGTGTGTGTGTGTGCGCGTGTGCGCGTGTGTGTGTAAGAGATTTGCTATCTGGAATTGGCTCACGTGATTACGAGGGGTGAGAGGTGCACAGCTGAGCTGATGCTGTGACTGGGCCTGTCCAGTCCCAAGGCTGGAGGAGACCCGTGTCCCCTTGGAGGACAGTCAGGCAGAGAGAGAACTCTCCTACTCACCTTGCATTCCATGAAGGGTCTGGAGGGATTGGACGAGGTCCCCACCCTGCGGGGGCATTTGCATCAGGAGCCCAGCACTCCAAATACTAACCTCACCAGGAAACACCAGGACAAAATCGGACCTCAGCTATCTAGGCACCCCACGGCCAGTCAGGCTGACACATAAGTTAACCATCACACAGATTACGTATTTCTTAGGGAGAATACGGAAAAATTAAATGAACTAAAAAATGATTCTCAAGATTATTTGAAAGAATGTATGTGGAAGGAAATTTGGGGGGCAAAACAGTGAGTGATTAGATGGTCCAAATGTTAGATGTAAAAAAATATAAATAGAAACACACAGAAAAACCTAAATGTATACTCATGCGGCCTCAGGGGCCATTTTATTCCCGGAGAAAAAGGAATTCCCTGCAGTGTCCTGAAGTGAAGGCAGTGACTGCAGTCACTAACTCAGACCTTACACCCCTGTAAGTTTCAAGCAGATTCAGTGCATAAATATGAAAGGCAAACCCACGTAAGTTTCAGAAGGATGTGTAGGCAAGAATTCTTACAATTGTGGGAGCAGTGGAGAAGACTTACCAGAAGAAATAATTGATAGAAATATTAGAAGATACACACATGTAAGAAAGTAGACTCATCTGGCCTCAAAAGTGTTGCTCCAGCGCCTGTCAAGATGGCCACTGATGTCAGAGCTTCATTTGGTGGTGGTGGGATATTTTTAATATGCTACAGAACTTCTATTATTATGGATGAAATATTCACATCTGTGTTCATAAATGAGAGTGACGGTTCCTTTATTTTACTGTCCTCTTCTGACTTTGGAACAGCACCTGTCTATGCTTTCTGCCTTAATCTACGCTTTCAAAGAAGTATACAAGACAATTCATTGCTTGAAAAGGAAAACAATCTTTTTTCTGTAAGGTCTTAATGTTTTTAAGGTAGAAATGCCGTGGTTTCATCCCCCATTTCCTCCTTCCTATGTGCCTGGCCAGAGTGTCCTGATTTGGGTTATTTTGTATCTGTGTGTGTGTGTGTGTGTGTGTGTGTGTGTGTGTTCGGAGAAAGAGAAGTGGAGAAAGCAGGTAAACCAAGACAGAGACTGGGTGAGCCTGTGAAATCAGTCAGTCTATGAGAGACCCATTTTTCTTGGAAACTTGGAATATTCCTTTCTTTTTTTAAAACCTCTGTGCTATTTTTCCTTTCTTAGACCTTTCATTTTGCCTTGTATAGATTTGAATTTGCAAGAAATCTGTTTATTTTAATTGTATTTTTTCTCAAAAAAGAATTAATTTTTCTAATGTCCTTAGAAATTAAAGGTGTTTTTAATTCATTTTCCAATTTTCATATGTTGAATATTTAGTTCACTTCTTTTCTTCCTGTCCTTTATGTGAAAGAAAGCAATTAACCTCTAGATACAACTTTGGCCACCTCAGCTATAGTTTGTATGTATACCATTCACTTTTATTATTTTAAAAATGTGATTATTATTCTAATGCTTCCTTTATCTCCAACGACTCTCGCTTGTGATTTAAATTTTATTGTATCTTGGAAAATGAATGTTGTTTGTGTAGTTTCTGTTTTCATAATTTACTGAAGTTTTCTTGAACATTTTTCAATGCTGAAAAAGAATAGGCGCCGATTCCTTCTATTATTTGACAGATATTAACCAGGCGCTTGCAGGCTGCTTGTGGGAACCTCTCTTTGGAGCCAAGCTGGTCTCTCCATGGTATTACTGCTGTGGTTTCCAACTGGGGCAGTTTTGTCCCCAGGGCACATTGGGCAAAGATGGGGACATTTCTTGCATAGCAGCGAGATGCTGCTGGAATCAGTGGGTGGAGGCCGGAGCGGCCCCCTCACACCCCTTTAGAGCTGAGCGCATCCACCCACTCCAGCCCTGTCACTGACTCTGCAATCAGGAAGGTTCCACACCAAGACCCCAGTGCCCTTAACATCATTTTCGTGTTTGGTCTATACGATCCAACATCGATTATTATGAGAATAATGTGTTATCATCTTTCCTCACCGTTTGCACACGTGTTTAAGATAGAACTTGATTGGGGGGGGGGTGGGGGACTGGACAGCGTGTTAATTGCCGCAGAGGAGACTCTTACCTAAAGTCTTTGATCCAGGAGCTTTTCATGGGCCGGCTCTGGTGCTTTTCTCTGTGTGAC